CAGTCACCTGTCTCAGCAATGTCATCCCGTAGCTTCACCTCAAAGTACCCTAGTTCATTTAGTAGGAATAATTACTTATACCAGACCTTAAATAACATACATTTGAGATACCACTTGCCCAGCTTACGCGAGTTGTCACAGTCCAGTATATCCTTTTCAACAGCGAAGAAATGCCGAAATATGGCAGGCGTAGTAAAATTGCTTTCGAAGGACTTTGCTAACTGGGTTGGTTCTTCATCATTAGCCATGCTGAAGCTCCTTGATAGTAAACAGTGTCTTGGGCATCCGTCGATCCAACGCCTTCTCTTACTCGTTCGGTCTGGGTCAGTTTAGTGTAGTACTCAACGGACGTATCCTTCACAAGGGTATTCCATTAAGCTAGTCTAAGAGAACAACTGAAAACCGGGGCCAACAGCCATGAGCACGCCCCGAAGGGCCGCAATGGGACTTATGTCTGCCTCTTTTAAATCACCAAGAGTCAGCGCGACTTCGCATACAGGGGGTCAGGGGTACTCACCATCAAGATCGGGGCAGAAGGGCGACGGCCGGACGAGGGGTTGGTCTCAGCAATTACCAGAGGGTTATTTGACCTTGCGATCCGCCAACTGGAGCAAGAGCTGTATGCTCTTCTCTGCGATGGTTTGACCGTCGGTGGTTGCGTACTTCCAAAGTGTGTGTCGCATCTCTGGTCTGAGGAACACCGGTTAACATCCTCAGTGTCAACTATGTCACTGGAGAGTTTCAGAGTTAGGTTCGTTGTCCATCCAACTTGTTAGCCGTGAGGCGTCAGCTCTGCATTTTTGGGTATCTTAGGTATATATGGTCTTCTTAGTGTTGACGACAAGGAGACGCAATATTAGGAACGGAAGGAGATAGGAACTCTTCTGCTGCACTTTTGCTCTTGCTAAGAGTCTGTACAACCTTCATACGAGTCAGCGGACTGTGTTTGGAGGTATACTTGGGATACACAATATAGTCACTGTTATGTTCAATACTTGTATCACGAGCAGAATCGATGTGGGCTCGGAATATGCATTTATTGGTGAAAGAGATGCAATATCGAGCAGGAAACGACCATGACTATTCCAGCTCAACTTGAGAAGAAACTTATACCCTAGATTCTGGCGAGAGTGACCAATTCTCCGTCCAAAGGTTAGCTCCTATGGAGAACTGCCGCCTCTTTGCACTTCGAGCGGGAAAGTGTTTAGCTCTTTCTGCTCTTCTGAAGTGCCCTTCACATATCTCTGCCGAAGATCTTAACATTCTATACCCACAAGCTCTACCTAGAAGAAATTCAGCTTTGATATATCTTTTTTCTTGAGAAATTGTTGAAGCTATTATTCCATCAAGGCGGAGCACGTTTAGTCTTCATCTGCTGTTGGATTGGCAAACGTTCTAAGGGCAAACTGGATCTACCTGCGAAATTAGTCGTGGATGGTTAGTATTTTCCCATAATTTCGGTGTCCCATGTTAATTTGTATGGCTGATATGGCAAGCCTTGAGATATCTATTTTTTTTTTGATGCTTGATCTAAACTCTTAGCAAGGGGAAGTCCCCGAACAGCCCGTGACATCCGAGTAGCAGAGCAGAGATGTTAGCCCTTTCTATAAATCAAGGTGTGTATTCTTCAATGCGATTTTGAGATTAAATTGCTGGTAATAGCTATCGGTATGCCAGTCGAAGTTTATCTCCTGATACGCACCAGGAACAGACATCCACCGAGCGTTGATTTGTAGCTCAATGAGTCTGTGGTATTCCCGGTTTGGGAGAACAGCTCCACGCGTAGACCGCAGAGTTCGCCTTTAGCTTAATCGCTAAGTGCTGCACTTGAAGCTCGCCCATTAGGATTTATCTTTGTGTGTTCTCTATCGAATGGCTGCTGGCTTAGACCAGGTACTCGGGTTTCGAGGGTAGTCAGCGATGAATAGATTTAAGTACTCCATGTTTTTCAGCCACAGTGGGCCCAAGCAACTTCACGAATAATGCCATGAGTTTCCTCTTTGGATGGAATCTTCCAGCAAAGCAAGATCTCGCTTCGACATTTTCGAGATGCCTTTGTGCGCCTTTTTGAGCTTCTTCTTCTCCACGCGGTTGCTTATGCGGGGATCACCCCTTGAGAAACTGCCGGCCAGAAAAATGGCCTTGTGGATAACCTATGTGAGTCGTCAACTTTAATACCATACGGGAATAATGTAATTGTTCTTCTTAATGGTCATAATTCACTTCAGTAGGATGTCCTCTTCTGAACAGAAGAGGAGTATTACTTTTCTGATCCGATATATGTAAGTAAAGGGGGCATAGAGGTTTCTTGCTTCTGCTTCAGAGACTACCCGAATGCATGTTTGCAGATAGCCAGGTTCGACAGCAAATAATAGAATATGCTAGCGCTTCTCTAGGAGAGTGACATGGGCATATCGAATTATATTGCTAAAACGGACGGTAATGACTGGATAACTGTGAATGTCATTTCCTTGAAGCAGCGGCTATTAAGACCTACGAGGTTTTGGTATCCCATTTGTGAGCGCTCCATGCTTTCTTCGAATATCGTCAGATAATTACTAAGGCATGAGGTCAAATCGTACGGCTCGTAAGCACCATTCGCTGTTCTTAGAGGAGTTCTTATCGACGCTCGAGTAAGTTCTTAGGCCAACAAAACGTAGAAAAACCAGATCGACCTTCATATCACGGAACAATATTCATCTCTTCCAACTCCCCGAATTGAACGACTTCCCCAGATTACTTAGGTCTGTCGAAAGTCACGTTCGCTTCAAGGCGTTGTTGACTGGGAGCCATTGAGTCAGGAGCAGAAATGAGGAGAAGCTCGATCTTTGGCTCCCGACAGCAGGGCCAGATGTCTGTTATTGATCGTGGCGATCCTGCCTGTCCTCAGCATCGGGTAAAGTACCGTCATTGCCATGCGTACCCTGTCACTATATACCAAGGTAATCGCCAGAGCAAGCACCAAGCAGAAGTTCAAGTTTTCGAAGCTTGTCCGCTCCCCATCGCAAGCCGCTATTGCTTCTGGTCCATTCTAAAGTGCAACCGAACCTGCGGAACAGCAATTAAAGTTACAGAGTGAGTAGCTTTCCAATGACTCGTGTAGGTAAAGACGAGTTTTCATGTTAGCGTTTTGGTATAATAGGGCTCGATTATCTGTCCGCCCTCCTTCTGGCCACTATCAGTCAGCAGGCATATCCGGCTTTATGACATTTAGATTGTCACTGTCGTTGTATGCTAGTCTGCCAGCATAAATGGTCCCACAAAGCGAGACAGTGGCTTCCAGGAGTGTTTTTTTGGGTGTTATTCCACAGTCATCTCTGGAGCGAGTCGATAGGAGTTCAACTTGCTCCTACTTGTGGTTCCCGATAAGGTGCACCAACCCTTCCGCGTTGAGTCTGCTCCGAACTACCCTGACATACTACCTTGTGCTCGTAGCGTTGTCCCTATATCTTCGAGCTGTAACATTTCCCGCATGGATCAATGATCTGGACCCATCCACTGTACTCTAGCCCTAGAAGGGAGGACGCACGATGTTCCTCTCTTGCTGAGGTTTTCCAAAAACTCTTCCGAAGAATAAATTGATTGGAGTTGAAGTTAACCTTGATAGGCACCAGCGCATGTTGTTTCTTGTCCCACAACCTGTCCACTTATCAAGGCGACGTGCTGGAAAACGGAAAGTATCGCATTCTAGAAACTCCAGGGCCATCGTTTGCTTCTGAACGATATATGTGCAATCGCAATGTGCAGTATTGGTTAGCCAGCTTATAGAATAGTAGCTGGTTTTCCTGCCTTGTTTCCGCAGGTAAGCTTATTCATTATCATGGCTTCTCAGAAAGAGTCTTGAACTCTACAGCAGGCTATACATATCTTCCACGTCTGTCATGTGGTAGCAAACTTGAAGCCTAGCCACGAGGACATAGCTTCTCATTCGACCCACAGTGTCTGATGCTCTACTTTATCTCTTGGGTAAAGCTTTCTCCTGTCAGTTGTCCCTAGTGAAAGTAGGTTTTACCGATATAGATGCGGCCGCTGATTTCTGTAAACGCATGCGTGCTGTCGCCTCGTCGTAGTCCTTTGATGGCGCAAGAAAGTGACAGCCTCATGGTTCTTGTACAGCTGCATGTTCGATCTCGTCAAGTTTTGTTGAATAGCCGTGTCTTGGCCAACTATCGGTCTGCAACGCTCTGAAATGGTTTTATGGCGTTGGTGCACATTCAGTGCAATTACAGGGTAGGCCTCATTCAATGAGAAGTTTAATAAGAAAGTCCTCGTGAGATTTAGGGCATTATTTCTTGCATTACAACTGTAGAATTATTGAGCAGGGCCCCAGTGCGTTTTGCTGTCCTCCACCATGGCCTCGACTTGAAGATAACATATAAAAATGAAAAGATATAGTAAAAATTGGAATGATCTCTGCAAAGTGTTGTTTTCATAGATACGACTATCAGTATGACCAGGTAAACTTCTCGTGATCTTGGGTCATTCCTTTGAATCCAAGCCACTATTGAGGATCAGGTTCCATATGCCAGAATCATCAAGCACAGCAGTAAGGCGTACTTGCGTTATTGTGATCGGATTAAGAAAGGCAGGTTTGCTTTCTTGATAGGGCAGAGTTACTGATCAAGGCTTGTCTAACACTAATGAACCAGGGCAGTAAGAAGGTCCAGTCCATATAAATGCCTGCAGAGGAGATGACCAACCAGATAGATGGAGAAGAGAAGAAGAGAAGAGCGAGGAAAAGACTGCAAATTTATAGGCAAACGCCAGACCACTAATTCACCCATAATTGGCACAGTGACTGTGGCAGTGGTGGGTGAGAGTGACAAACCCCAGTCGCCTTCACTTGTTCCACCTTCAGCCTCATTCAACCAGGCCTCTCCCCATTCGATCTATCACTCTTTCTCTACCCCCATCCTTATTCATATACGTCCATCTACTATCCTACATCTCGCCCTATTATCACTATCAAATATTCACCACAGATGTCTAACAAAGTCACCATGCCAGACCTATCAGAAGAATCCAGTTTCTACGGCTTGTACTCCCCTCCATGCAAACGAAACCACACACTAACCAACCCCACAGGTTCGGAGGAAGAGACAACACGTCTAGAAGAAGAAGTGTCCAAATTCAACATAGACAACTACTGGACAAACATCCATCCCCATGAGTACAATACCATCAAGCAAAACGTCCTCGCAGCCCGAGGAACCATGCCCTCATCGTCATCCGATGCATCAGATGCACCCGAGCCCATGGACCTCACAACTTCACACCTCTCCAGCGAACCCCCATCAACTCCAATCCCCACCCACGACTTCGACGTCCCCATCTCAAGCACAGACACAACCCCAATCAGACACAACCGCCCCTCACCTAACGAACCTATCTCATCCTTCCTCGCCCGTCTACGCCCATCATCTACCCTCTCCACATCCCCCACGGGGTCCTGGATCTATACCACTAGTTATAGCTATGAACAGCCGCAAGCAGATATCAAGAAGCTAGTGGCAGAAGGGACGAAAGCACTCCATGCTCATGAAGAGGCAATCGCTCAGGTGCGGGCCCAACACGCTAAAAAGCCAAAGAAGACGCAGACACCTGCTGCGCTGACGCGCGAACTCACTAAGCACCGTGTAAATTTGGAAAGGGAGATCTTCGCTCTGGCTAAGGAGACCAACGTGGTGTCCGGTAAATGGTTGCTTTTCGTCTCTGCGGAGAAGGTGGATGAGGTGTGGGCTGTCGTGGCGGAGGCTACGGCGAAGGGGGAGTTGGGGTTCGGGGCGAAGGTGGCTACTGCTGCTGCTGATGTTGCTGCTGGCGATGGAGGTTCAAACAAGACGAGGTTGATTTGTATTTATACGAAGGACTATGATGATAGAGCTGATGTGGAGAGGGTATTGAGGAAGATGGCGGCCTTGGAGCTGGTGGATTTGGATGGACGGCCGATTTATTATAAGTGTGATGCGTATACGCATTTGGATATCAAGGGGGGGAATGTGTGGGGGTTGAGGGCGAGTATGTACTCCAGTCGGGATTTTGGGAAGAAGTAACTAGACTGTGATATTGGGTTTGGAGTTGTGCTTGGTGTCTTGGACATTTGATGTGTGCTTGGATATGATATGATGTGAACCTTGGTATGTATGCATGTTGTGGGTATATGATTTCATTAATCTAAATTGGCTTGTGAATGGTTTGAAGATAGTGGTAGCTCAGAGACCGGCTCGAGCTGCGCAACTGCCTTCATGCGACAAATCTCTGTCGGTCTGGAGGTGACTGAATGGTGATAGCGCGGCACCCTCTTGTGCCATGCTGAGGCCCACGTTATGATTCCAACTTGAAGATAATCCTTCAACTGAACATGGGTGCACCGTAGCGACTTCCAAGAGGCGACTCTCATGTATTGTGGGGCATATCAACCCCAATCCAACTGTTGATCAGTCTCAAAAACCCCTCAGGTATAGAATCTCCCAACTCAAGCTTCCCTCCCCTCCATAACCTTTTCACAAGCCTCCCTAACCTCCTTCACACCTTTAACCCCCTCCCACTTATCCAACAACTTCTTGACCTCACTCCAATCCCCCTCCGCCTCATCCCCCTTCCCCTCCTCCAACAACTTCTCCAACCTCCCCGGCGCCGCAAGCACCCACTTCACCGTCCCCTTCTCCGCCCTCCTCCTCTCACCCCCCTCACTCTGCTTAACCTCCCTCATCCTCCTCTGCTGCTCCTCCCCCTCCTGAATCAGCCCCCCGGCAGTCTCCGCCACAAACGCAATCGCGGGCCCCAGCGTCTTCGTCATCGTCAACGGCGCTCCCCGATCATCCATCGTCCTTCGCATCTTCCCAATCGTCTCAACAGCCCTAATCAACTTCGAGTAATTATCATATACTAATGCTTTGCGCTCACTGTCCAACGTGCGAATATCCCCAACAAGCGTATTCTCCGCTTTCAGGACCGTCGATAGCGACGACGAAGCGAGGAGTTGGTTCACGTAGCGTTGCGGATCGAAGTCCGGGCTATCGAGCTCGGTTCCTGTTGTGGAGAGTATGGATGGGCCACCCGCCGCACCGGCACCGCTACTGCTACTGGAGATGTCGCCTGCGTCGGTGTGCCGTGGGATGCTGCGTGAGCGGCGTCCGTCATTGTTGGGATCGGCTGCGGAGGAGGGTTTCAGGTTGTAGTAGTCGCGGAGGGCGGCGCGGTTGCGACGGGGGTGTAAGGAGGGAGAGACGGCGCGGGCGGTGGATGGGGTGGAGGAGGCGCTGAGGTTGTTGAGGTTGTAGTTGGTGTTGAGAGTGTCGAGGGAGGGTCGGTGCGAGGATGTTGGTGTTGGAGAATGTGCGCGGGATGAGGCGATTGAGGGGCGGGGGGAGGAGAGGGTGGACATGTCGATTGCAGAGTTCGTAGATGTAGGTAAATAGGAAAAGGGAGGTAGAGTATAGGTGTCGATGTATTGTGTAGTGATTCGTGAAAGGAGTTAGTTTGGAGGTTTAGAGATCGCCCCGATAAGGAGAGTTGAAGTCCAGCTAACTTGGCTGGTCCGTTCCCCGGATTCGTTCCGCTCCGCATCGGAGCTACAAGTAAACATTTTCCACCAGAGCTATCCAGCATCTACGTTTCCCAGCACACCAACAACACCGCACAATCATGCACTTACACCCACCTTACATCTCTCCGAACAAGATCTAATATACTTCACAATGACCTCCACCCCTCATCAACAAATAACCACCAACCTCCTCACCACCAAATCCCTCCCCGTCTCCCCCACCTGGCTAACCACCTTCCTGACCTCAACATCAACATCACGCACCATCCCCCTCAGCGCCCTCACCCAAACCGCCCTCTTCCGTATTCTCACCTCCGACATCCGCGACTCCCTCAGCACCAGCAACCCCTCCACCCTCCTCCCAGTCGACATCTTCGACCCCACGATCCAAGAACGCCGTCTCAACGGCCCCATCCCACTCCAAGTCCTCGACATCGAAGACATCGGCACGAGTCTCTGGAGCCAGGTGGAGGCTATTGAGCGCGTGGAAAGGGGGGAGGCGATTCGGGGGAGGGAGATCGTGAGGACGGTGAATGTGGGGGAGGATAGTGAGGCTGCTGCTGCGGAGAACAATAGTAACCAGAATGCAGGCGGAGGTGGAGGTGATAGTAATGGACCGCATCGGTTGATACTGCAGGATGCGGCGGGGACGAGGGCCGTCGGGTTGGAGTTTGCTAAGGTCAATGGGATTGGGTTGGGGAAGTTGGCTATTGGGGCGAAGGTTGTCGTGAGGGATGTTACGGTTGCGAGAGGGTTGGTGATGCTTACGCCGGAGTCCTGTGTGGTGTTGGGAGGGAAGATTGAGGGGTTGGATGTGCAGTGGAGGGAGGGGAGGAAGGAGAGGTTGTTGGGGAGGATTAATGGAGGGGTGTAGACTGGGTCTTGTTATGGTGGTAGGTTGGTTTCCTTGTTGGAGGAATGTGGATGATGGAGTGTGTCTAATGCTTGTATGCATCTATACTAATATGTGTATGTGTGTGTGTGACAGTTAACTAACTACAACACGTCTAGCTGGTCGTTGAGACCGCGTGATTCAACTCCTCCCATCCTGTCTGCTTCCATGGCGCAACCATGATCGCCCGCAGCGCGTCGCTTGCCTTTCCGGTCTGTGCGTATGCCGCGGAGAGATCGATGGCCTCCAGGTTGCTTCGGGGAGGGACACTCCTCGCTGCCCGTTTGGTCGCCATCTCCGCAGGGTACAGTTCCTGCGTGGCGGACGCCAGCTCTACCCAGCCTTGAGGTTCGTACGGCGATCTCATCACCGCTGCTGTGGCCTCGCCGACGCGTCGAACATCCTCGGGTACGCCTGAGTTGTCCGTAAATCCAAGGGTCGAGATGGCGGTCAAGAGCTTGATTAGCTTGCCGCGTTCATGGATCTCAATGTCGTCTCTTGTGATCATATTCTGCAGATCAGACTCGACTGCATCGATGGCATCCGCATCGGCGTCAAGGAGTGCGATTGCTCCTAGGAGCGTGACAGCCCCAATGTGGTCGGGGTTCTCCTCAACGCAGTCGAATAGTTGCTGCCGTGCCACAGCGCGCTCCTCTTCTCCGCCCTTGGCCCACAGAACCTGTGCCAGGAGGCACACCACCTCCGGAGCGTTGTCGGCTTCCTGAAGGGCGTCCCGGAACATGTCAATCGCGTTGTCCATCGACTTCATGTAGTAGTGTGCTAGACCGGCTGTCAAATGGGCCGACAGGCGCAACTTGCGGTTTGTCTCTGGGTCAAACTTCTCGGCATCTTCCTCTCCAGACAGCATAAGAGCTGTCTCCGCCTTCTCAGCAGCTTCTTCGAAGTCATGGCGCGCAAGCAGAACACGAGCAATGTCTGCATTGGCCTGTGCATATCGGGAAAGGGACGACGCGGATTCCGTGACTTCGTATTCACTTTCCATGCCTGCGCAAACTAACCGCAGACTCGCCTCAGCGTCGGTGTGTTCGCCAATTCTTTCCGCCAAGAGAGCAGAAAGGTGGACGAACGGAAGGTCAGACGGGTCCTGGCTGGAGAGCTGGTGCAGGGCAAAGAATGGCTGAATGAGTTGTGAGATCTCGTTCGACAACGACGAATCCGAGAGGAGGTGGTCGAACAAGCTCATCGTATACTGCTTCTTGGACAACCGGGTCGACGAAGTGGAGATATCAAAGGCATGTTCAAAGAGGCCTCTCGCTTCCTGAGGATCTCCGAACAAGAGAGCCAAGAATCCTTGACCAACCCAGGCCGGGGAGTAGTCGGGGTCAGTGGACTGTGCCCGGGTGAAAGCCTCATTAGCGAGTTGAATGTCATTGTGGATGAGATAAAGAGTTCCCAGGTTCGTCCAGACTTGGGCGCTCCTGTCGTTGAGGTGAAGACTGCGGACGAATGCATGCTGTGCGACCTTGGGACTCATGCTCGTGGTGACTACTCCCAGGGCGTTCCAGAACTCCGAATTTCCGGCTTCGAGCTCAATAGCTCTCTTAAAGCATCGCATAGCTGCCTTCAAGAGCTTACGTGACTGCTTCTTATTCTCCGTGTTCAAGATGGTTTGTAAACACCGGTAGGCTCGGTACTCTGCCCAGCCCAGGTTGTACCAGGCGACTGCTTGGGCATGGCTGTCCCGCAGGGAGACCTGAATAGCACGCTTGTATGCCAGGATAGCAGCGTAGAGGCACTGGCTCGTCCGGTTGGCGGTCTCATCGTCCGCTGTTAACGAAGATAGATAGTCATGACCAACATTATCAACTTCTGTCAAGATATCGAGAGCCGTAGGTTCCAGCTGAGTCTCAAGTAGGTCTCGTAGCTCATCAACCGGCAGCCTACCCGCTTTCGACTGGACGTAGGAGAAGAGCGTACAGGCGTCTCCGATTCCTTTCCATAGGTTGAAGACGTCGACCCGTTCCAGAGCAAGCGACTTGGCTACTAGTAGAGCCTTCCGTGCCAGCTCAATACAGTCATTGTAAAGACCCTGGTCCAAACTCTTCCAGGAGCTCTCGGTGAGCGTTTGAAGCAGCGCAATCGCCACTCCAAATTCATTAGGCCGCACCTGCAAGACGTCCTCATATCTCGCAATAGCATCCTCGTACTCGCCGAGCTCTCGCTTGACATTAGCCAGCATGTACCTTGCAAACCAGATCTGCTCCTTGTCGGACAGGTTATCCTCGAGCTGCTGTGCGTGCTCAAACGCCTTTGTAGCGGCAATGAATCTGCCAGAGTGGTGGTAGCTCTCGCCTAGACCGACCCACGAATGGTAGTCATTGGGAGAGATTCTGAGAGCTGCCTGGAAAGAGACAATACTCTTAGGGTACTGTTGCTTGTTGATTTGCACTGTGCCCAGAGCTGCGTAGGGCCAGCTGTAGCCTTTGCGCTTCGAGCCTGGGGCAGGCTTAGCCTTCCCCGAATCAACGACACGTTGGGACACGGCTTCGACAAGATCCCATTCCCTCTGATCGGCGAATGTCTTGGCCAGTCGCTCGGCTGCTTCGATCTCTGACGCTGACAGCTCGAATGCTTTGTGGAAGCACCTGCGTGCTCGGGTCTTGTCCTTCTTGTAGTCCGCATAGTAAAGACCGAGGCTCGTATAGGCAGGAGCAAAATTCATGTTTGACTGGATAGACGCGAGGAAGCTGGCATATGCTCCAGTCCGGTCTTTGCGCGCTGCCGGCGATGGATCATTCTCCCACTGGCAGTATCCCACTCGGTAGAGGATCTCAGCTTTGAATTCTCTATTGTCGGACTCCGCTTCCTGAAGTTCTTCAAGGACGTCTTGCAGGCCCTCCAAGCCAGATGCAATATCGCCGTTGAGTGCCCTACACCACGACAGCTCACCGCGTACTTTAATGTTCGTCGGGTCTCGCTCCAGCGCACGCTCCAGGAAATTGACAGCTTCGGAGTAATCCTCGTCAACCTTGAGAATCAGACCGATACCCAACAAGCAGCTTGTGGATTTCGGCTCTCTGCCCAGAATCTCTTCGAAAATTCGCTTAGCTTCGGGGTGATGCCGGGGAGACTGGTAATAAATAAGCGAGTTGGCGAGCATTATGTTGAGTGCATCCGTGGTGTTTTGCAGACTGATGCCAGTCCTCCTGACAAGGTCCTGTACATTGCGAAGGCCTTTGCGACAGACATCCACTGTGCTGTCGTACTCTTCAAGTGAGAGATATAGCTCGGCCACAACCCGGTGAGCGACGATCGACGCCGAAGATCCTTCGAGGCCTTCCACCATCAAGAGCAGGTTATCCTGGACACCCAGTTCGTTGCTCTCGCCATTGTTGTTCTCGGTATCTTCATCCTTCTTTGCAGCTTCTCTGGGCTCTTTGGGCTCTTTGTCTTTCGGGAACGGTGACAAGTCGCTAGCCAAGAAGCCCTTCAGCAGCTTAGAGAGACCGTCTTCGGGAAAGAATTCAATAAAGTCGTCCAAGAAGTTGCGGTCCCACTCCGAGAAGTTCTGAATATCCTGCCATTCTAGCACGATCTTCCACGCGAGCTCGTAAGGGTGCTTGATGATCACCATATCGTGGGCGGCCTGGAACACTTCCGCTCGCTTGGCGTCCTTTTCATTCGCCGGTAGCACTGAAAGGATATCGTTCGCCCGCTGTAACAACTTCTCTTCGTAGGTACGCCGAACTTCATCATCATGAGACCAATTGACAATTCCACGGTATAGCTCCTCTAGCTCGCTCCGTTTGAAGGCCTCCCTCTTGACCTCTAGTGTAACCTGATCAATTTTCGCACCCAGTCGCGTACGTCGTTCACCGATTTCCCTGTTGATAAACTCCTTTTCCTCCGCCTCGGTCATTTCTATCAATCGGAGGTAGGTGTGCGAAGGATGGGGAACTCTCCCCTCGAGGAAATCGTAAAGCGGGCATGATGGCAGGTGTAATTCGAGGGCTTTCTTGTACTGCGACCGAGATCCGTTCTTCTTCGCGAACCCAACGTACTTGTCGACCAAATCTTGGCAGCGGTTCTTGTCATCTCTGCACTTATTTAGTGATCATTCGGTTTAGAGACGAACACGGAATGAGAACGCACGATTCGGCATATACTTGACCAAGTCGGAGAACTGCGTCGCGATACGTATCGAGCTTCTGAGCTCCCTGCTTCTCAAAGAGGTTGATGAGTCCCTGCCACGCTGTCTTGTCGTTCTCTTTCACCCGGATTGCCGAAAGATAGGCTCTTTCAGCCTCGGTGTTTTTGTTGAGTTTATCTAAAGCTAGACCAAGGAAGACATTGCTGTGATATGGTTAGATAGTGGGCAGCGCAATGGGTACCGCGGGGTCGGGGCAACACACGCATGGTAGATCTGAGGATCTTGCTGCACAATAGCTTTGGCTTTCTCAGCTGCAAGCTCGAAATCCTTTGCGTCGAGTGCTGTTCGCACCGCCTTCAGAGCGGATTTGCTTGACATTCTAGAACAATTGCTTCATGGCCCAGCCGGTCGAGGCGAGATTCTGGATAGACGAAGTGGAGGAGCTGAGCGCCGGTCGAGAAAAGGCTAGCTAGTCTATGTGGGGAAGCCCAAGCGGGTACGGATCGTATATTCGTATGGTACGTCAGAGGCCCGGTCGCCTTCCCGTTATCTCCAATCACCCGTGATACTCTCTCCGCAGTGATCCTGGATTCACTCTACCTTTGATAGCGGATTCTCCAGGCACCAGGGGGGTTTTTGCGGTGCAGGATTCGCGTCATATTTAATAAGTGCATCTCTTCACGTTCCACGTCTGTCTTCACTCTCGTTGACTCTTCCTTTGATGGTCGGACGGTTTGCTCATGCAAGGTTAGCGCGGATCCCCGATCGACACCTCATTCGGTCCCCCCGGCTGTCCTGCTGTACACCGTATCTGACTCTCAACTCCCAGAATAACCTATCTGTCACCCGACCTGTCTCGTTACTTTAGGCTGCGCTAGATATTCTCCGAGAAGTTGTAGTCGTCTGTGTCTACACCCCTTTTATCATACCTGGAGCGTCAACGCCGTTTCGTTGTCGCCTACTACCTACCTTGCCACTAGCAATCATGGGCCCTCTACGACTCCGCATTGATGGTCGGACTTTCAAAGACTCGCACAATAGAGAGATTACATTAAGAGGAATAAACGTTGCTGGTGAATGCAAATACCCTAAGAACCCTGATACACCGTCCTACATCTCCGATAATTTCTTCGACGCCGATAACGTTTCCTTCGTCGGTCGCCCTTTCTCCCTTGACGACGCTCATACACACTTTGCCAGGTTACGCAAATGGGGTTACAATACCTTGCGATACATCTTCACATGGGAAGCGATTGAACATGAAGGGCCCGGAAAGTACGATGATGAATGGATAGCATTCACTATTGAGGTCCTGCGTATCGCCAGGCAGTACCAATTCTATGTGTTCCTAGATCCTCATCAGGATGTGGTATGTTCCCAGTCAATATGCTTGCTTGGTGGTACGAGCCGTTGCTGAACAAGCCCAGTGGTCTAGACTATCAGGAGGCTCCGGTGCGCCAGCCTGGACACTTTACGCGGCAGGCTTGAACCCGCGGACGTTCAAGAAGACCGAAGCTGCCCTTGTTCAAAATACGTATGATGTCCCGGCTGAATTCCCTAAAATGATCTGGAGTACGAACTACACCCGTCTTGTCTGTCAGACAATGTTTACTCTGTTTTGGGGAGGTCGGGACTTTGCTCCGAAAGCGATAATCAACGGCATGAACATACAGGACTATCTGCAAGGCCACTTCATTGCAGCGTGTCGATATTTCGCCGAGAAGATTCATGAGGCTGGCGACATCGAGAATGACGTCGTTATCGGGTGGGAGAGCATGAATGAGCCCCATCGCGGACTCATTGGAGTACAGGACATATCCGTGATCCCACCGGAGCAACAACTTCAGCTCGGCACATCGCCCACTGCTTTCCAAGCCATGCTTACTGGCTCGGGACGGGCATGCGAGCAAACAACCTGGAATTTTGGCAGCTTCGGCCCTCACCAGACTGGCAGAGAACTTGTAGACCCTGAGGGTGAATCTGCATGGCTGCCAGCTGATTATGACGACCACAAATACGGCTGGAAGCGCGATCCCGATTGGAAATTAGGCGAGTGTCTTTGGGCCCAGCATGGAGTTTGGGATCCGTCGACGGACCAACTTCTCCAGAAGGATTACTTTTCCAAAGTGCCGCAGACCGGAGAACCCCTGAATTATGATAGGTTTACCAATACGTATTTTATGGAACACTATCGGGCTTACAGGGATGCTCTCCGAAGTGTCTGGCCGGGGGCCATCATGCTGTGCCAACCGCCGGTCATGGAAATACCCCCGGACTTGAAGGGAACAGCCGATGATGATCCTAACATGATCCATGCGGTACATTATTACGATGGACTTACACTCTTGACGAAACATTGGTAGGTAGTTAACTACTCAAACGTACACATCCTATGGTGCTGACAGCCACAGGAATCGGCTATACAATGTGGATGTAATCGGTGTTCTTCGAGGAAAGTATCTGACTCCGGCATTTGCCGTCAAGATCGGGGAGACAGCCATTCGGAATTGCTTGCGCGACCAACTCAAATTTCTCCGTGATGAAAGTCTCAAGTACATGGGGGACCATCCGTTGGTTTTCACGGAGATTGGTATTCCCTATGACATGGACGACAAACATGCTTATAAAACCGGCGATTATAGCAGCCAAGTTAGTGCGATGGATGCGAACCACTTTGCCCTAGAAGGAAGCACGGGCAATGGCTTCACGCTGTGGCTCTACACCACCACGGTAAGCATTGCCGCCTGACTGTCTGGAAGAGGATCTTGTCTAACAAGTTACTTTCAATGTTTCACAGAATAACCACGAGTGGGGCGACAACTGGAACGGCGAAGATCTGTCAATCTACTCCCTCGATGATCTGGAGCTGCCAAGTGGCAAGCTTCTGGCACTGGAGGGTGAATCCCGAACGGACCCCGACCCTCGTTCACCCGCCTACTCGGAGAGTCAAGGCAACCCTGAGCATCATCAGGTTGGACCCGGTAATCTGAAGGATGCACTGGCCACACCGTCCATCACGTCGGAATACACCCAGTCCAACGCAGACAAACTGGGATTCCGAGCTGGAGAGGCATTCATCCGACCCAGCCCAATCTACACCTATGGAGATGTCTCGAAGTATGTTTTTGACCTTCGTAACTGCACATTCACCCTATCGCTGGTCGGCAGCAAGCGGATCCTGGGAGATGAGGTGGCAACGGAGATATACTTGCCGGAGTTTCACTTTCCCGATACACAAACCGTGGTTTCGGTCAGCAGTGGAGAATGGAGCATCGACTACACGGAGATCAACTCGATCAAGGTGCAACGACTCCGCTGGTGGCATATGGAAGGGGAGCAGGATATCAAGATTCAAGGTGTAAAGCGGAAACCCGGCGACCTGAGCAGTATATCGGCAGATGATCTGAGCTATCTTGAGCAGTGCCAGAAGGGGGGTTGCACGGTGATGTAGATGGCTGGACCATCGCTGTTGCGTCCTAGTATAGCATTTGAGACGACAAATTATATTTTCTCGGATGTTGGGTGGAGTTTCGGTCATACTATAGTTTATGGGTCATACGTATTAGTCTAAGTACGGTAATTGGTTTGCCTGTCTTCTATATAAACTGTCATATAACATATCATCGTAGGTTGCAGTCATGGTCACTGAGTAGGGAACTGAAGCCTCCTATGGTTTAAGGGGTAAATAAACTCTCCTTTTCTGTATGCCGACGGAGAGGGGAAGTTCCAGGGCTGATCCGGGCCTTATCGATAAGGCCAACCCCGGGAAGCGGTGAAGAGCAGGGCGTGCTGTGAGTGGTGCAAGCCCCTCCCTGACCGCCTAGTCGGTGTGGTGATTGGAGCAGCGGCGCGTGGAAAATTCACAGTGAGCTATTTATGATTGATTATGGTTCACCATTCTATTGTTGTTCCCGATCCTCTTCTTCCCTTAAAAGGTACTTTTCTTACTACTACTGCAACTTACTTCCTATCCCACTTTTGCAGTCTTCTTCCCTCCCCCCAGTCCAACCATCGGACGTGATAGACTCGGGTTCCCCCGCTCCCCTTCAAATTAACAAGCTCCAAGAGGAGAGAAGCAATTCCTCAATTCCGTACTCGGAACATTCCTAGTTTCCCCGTGGTTCTCCCCTCCTTATAAACCCTTTCTTTAGGCAGAAACCGCATCCCCCATTCATTCCAGAACACCACTGCACCGCCGAGCCGCAACTGCCTCGGAGGCGGTTGCCGTGTGTCGCCCACCTTTTCTGGAAGGCTGATTGCGGCAGCGTTTGTTATTTGCCCAACGCAGTCCTACCTGACCCGCAACGACGGATCTCTCTCTCATCGGGAAGAGTGACCAAGGCTTTGCAAGGGCCTAGATCATGCCGGCATTGGTGCTGCCACTGGAAAAAGTCTTGAATTAAACCCATTCCGCTATACTTATCCTTTACTCGTCCCCTGGCGGCACTAGTTCCGTCAGATCCTAATCATGGCGGCTGAGGCAGATCTATCGGAGGGCCGCATGGCCGACATCATCCGTGCCCTTGAGCTCATCCATAGCCCCTCCTCGACAAATGAGCTGCGCAGGGAGGCCTTGACCTTTGTGGAGGCCCAGAAAGAAAGCAAATCTGCTGCTCGTAATGGTTTCCTGCTCGCTTCCCCCGAACAGAGCAACCCCTTGGTTCGCTACTTCGGCTTGGGTTTGCTAGATCACGTCTTGCGTCACACCTCCTTTGAGGCATCAGAACAGATCGATGCACTTAGGGGTCTGGTCCTCAAGCTGGCCGAATCGGTACGGCCAGAAGATCCCCCGTATATCCGCAACAAAATCACCCAATTATGGGCCGAAGTCGCCAAACGGAGCTGGGGTTTGGACTGGAACGACATGGACGCCACGCTCGTTCAGTTCTGGAATGCTAGTCTTGTTCACAAGGATTTAGTCCTGTCGATCCTGGAAACCCTTTCCGAAGACATCTTCTACCGCGAAGACACCGTTTCTTCCCTGCGCGGCACGGATCTCAATCGGGCTCTGGTGGAGATCTGCACTCCCCTGTCTGTCTTCGAGGAGATTCACCCAAAGAAGGACAGTATTGACCTGCGCTGTGGCCCGGAAGGTTGGCTTTCCCGCATCTGTGGGTTCCTGGCCGATTGTATTGGGAACATCCAAAACTCGAAGCAAGCAAAAGACTCGGCCCTTAAAGCTCTCGCGACTCTCAAGTCCGTCCTTGCATGGTCAATTCCCAAGGCAATACTCTCTGCCAATTGCGTTCCTTCAATTGCGAGGGCATTCACTTGTGATGACGAATATGTGTTGATGGTAAGTCTCCACCCAACCTTTGGAGGTCGTGCGAGGAGCATGTGCTAATGTTAACCAATCTAGGCCGCGGTTGAAGCCCTACATGCCTTATATAGCCGTTCCAATGTCGACATCGAGGGTTTCCAACCACTTGTCCACGTCATGTACGAAACGGAGTCCTTGAATGTGCTGCAGAAACTCTACGAATGGTCCGTCGTTGGGCCTGACGACGTCGATGACCTACGATACACCATATGTAAGAAAGTGTCTGAGGTATGAAAAAGAACCGCACTTGACGGGGAGGCGCACACTAACGCACATGAATAGATGATATCATATATTGCGGGTTTCCTTGAGGAAAAGTCATTTGCCCTGGAAAGCGTACAGGGCCTTAACCTTCCGTTCTTTTTCCACCTCACCGTCAGCGTTATTCAAAACCAAAGTCTTACTGTTTCGATTCCCGTTCTTCATGTGTGGTCTAAGTTAATCGCATCGGAGAGGATCGGAAATACAGACTTGGTTACTGGCCTCGTGCCTTCCCTACTGAGTATTTGCACCGAAAGATTGATTCGTTGGGAGTCATTCCCGTCCGATTCGGAGAATGCTACGGTTGTTTTCCTCAACGAAGATATTGACACTATCCCCGAAAGACATGCATTCGTTGGTAACTACCGGCGCTACTGCTCGTCTATCATCGAAAGCATCGTACAAAAGAGACCACAGGAAGCCATTCTTCATATCTTATCGGAAGTTGACTCTAACCTAGACAATCTCTACGCCGGAGTGGAGCCTTTCAGCGGTATGTATGTCTTGCCTGGGTTTGAACTGTTAGCTAAACCCTGCATCAGTCAAGTCGTTTTCGAAGAACTCAATGCCCCTGATGCGTGCCGACACGCAGTTCGCAGTCGTTGAGGCAACACTGAAGGGATACAATAAATGGGTGTCTGCACATGGACGGATGCCCCAGCAAGACGTGCGAGACACGACTCCAATCACCGTTATTCAGCTAACATAACTGTAGGAACAAAAGCGGAGCGAACTAGAACAGATGCTAGAAGCATGGGCTTTCAAGCTGATGCAGCGGAACTTTGAGGTTCGACTGATTTGCCCTCGAATATTATGTTTCAATATAACCAACTCATGTTACCCTACAGGATCCTATCCTTAAGCAGCGGGTCATCAAGCTTGTTGTCGATATCTCATCCAAAGCTCTGGATAAGACCCCTAGCTTTGCACTCAAGGCCCTAGAGTATATCCTCATGACGCGTCTACCTGACCAGCCGGAATACCCAGTGTACTCCGAGTCCGTCAAGGAACTCCACGGCTTGACCAGCCATGAACTCCGGAGGTTGGCTATGCGTTATGCAGACTACTTTGCTGTAAGTTAGACCACCATGGCTCCAAGCACTGCTAACTGTTCTGTCCACAGACCTTCTACGACATACTCGAGCCTAAGATCAAGGAGATTAGTATGGCCAACCGGGTAGATGACAAGCTCCAAATGGAGCTCACATCGATCCTGCTCATCATCATGTATGGCTCAACAACATCAGATCTAGCGTCCTAGTGCTGACCTTGCAGGCAACGTGCAAACAACGTCGAACCGTATCTCCGCCAGTCCCGCCTGGTGTCTTTTGTGGAACCCATCAAAAATGCTTGGCAGGAAGAGGAGTTTCGTAATATGAGCTCGACCTTTGAAGGCTTCTGCGTTATGCTCGGATTGCAGAGTGTTGGTCCATACATGCAAGCACGACATGCGCCCAAGCTCGAGGACTGGTCATCCGTGCCTCTGGATAGTGAGGGCAAGCTAATCCAGGAAGAGATGACCGGAAAGTTCCAGGTAATAATTACTCCCTAGTCATCACCAACATGTGCTAATTTCGGGATAGCAATTGCCTTTGAGAGGCACCAAGACTATGTTGGCCGTTTCCTCGGACAAACTTAAGAAAACAGATCAGGCGTACGAACTGGCCTGCAATATCTGGCATGACATTATTCCGACAATTCTGCCAACGCTACTGCAGCTTGTCAGGTAAGCCATCTGTCCATCAGCCCTGTATATCTGGCTAACCACACACAGTAACGCGCATGCCTTCCACAACCCAGAGAACTGGGGTGGCTTGCCTCATGACATGCGCGGTGTGGTCGAGCGTATCCTGACCGATAGATTTTGGCAAGCTGGAATTTCCACTGGAAGCCGGGATGAATTTTATGCCAAGATCACGGCCTCGAAAGCCTCTCTTGAGGGATTTGCGTCCTCAGTAAGAGGCAAGATTCGGGCAGTTAGAGAATCCTGCTACTCCATGTTGTTCAGCATGAGCAGGCTGCGAGAGCATTTCTATGGGTTCGCAGAACTTCCCGGCCCCCTTGCCCAGGCGCTGTTCAAGGACTCCGCCCATCTTTCCTCCCATCAGTTCTCCGTCCTTCTTAACATCTCAAGGTGTTTGATTGATGACTGCCCTGTCCGCTTCCGGGCCCAGTTCCTGCCTCCAATGCTCTCGACTCTTTTCACCAATATCGACAAGAAAGTGACATCCGAGTGGGACGCCATTGAACGTCAGAAGGAGGGCCTTGGGGAAGGGGATCTAACCGATGAAATGAAATCGGAAAGTATCCTACGGCAGTTGACATACTCCGCGGTGATCTTCGTGGCAAGCCTCCTAGACCCGCAGAGAGGGGGTAAGTTGGATTAAAATTATGATCTTTATGATGTGCTAACTCCTTATTCTAGACCCCGACGACGAGCCAGTAGATCCCAGTGTCCCACAGGCGGCACCAGCGCTCTCTGACTCCATCCGGCATTTTGTCCTGTCTTCTCCTGAGATCTTCGAGCCGGTGATGCTCTTCTGCACCCATGCCCTCCGTATGCGCGATACCCGGTGCTGCAGCATCATCACTCGCGTCATTCGCTCCATCCTTCAAGACTTTGCGCCCCCCAATGATACAGCAACAACCGTAACGATCCGCGAGTTTATCTCTTCCGAGGTGCTCAAGGCCTGCATCACATCTGTGCACGAACCTTACTTTGTTGACATGCAGAAAGACCTTGCCCAGCTCATCGCTTCCATCTGGATCCTGTATGGATCGTCCAGCCCCACCCCGCGGGCCGTGATGCTCAGCCTTCCGGGCTTGGACGAACAACGGGTTGCCAACGCAGAGGCTGCTCTCATACGTTCCTCCGCGGCGCGACAGCAGCGTGCGCTGATTTTGGATCTTCTGGAAGGCCTGAGAGGTGTGAGTATCGCCGAGCAGGGTAAAATTCTGGGCTCTCGTGAAGAACGCCGAAAGGCCAGGAGTGCGCTACAGGAACGGTACATGAGTACCGGTGAGATGGAGGGCCAACAGAATCACAAGGTCGATATCAACGATGGCCCGGACCTTGCCGGTGTCGCGGACTTGTTCGGTTAAAATCTCCCCCTAGATTCGGTGCGGCGGCCGCTCATACCCAGGTCCTCCCTTGTATAGTATGGTGGCTTTGGTTTCAAGCCTTCTCCGACATCACAGCCACCTTTTGCGGTTTTGACATTTCTCACATATATAAGCACATAGACGCCTCCCCGGAGGTCATGGCAGCGACGCAGCATAGTCTAATGTAGCAGCGGTTGATAGACGCCAATTGGCAAGAAAAAAAGAATACAAAACACTGAAAACGCATTGCGGAACTGGCCGGTCTCTTTGGTTTGGTATATCTACAACATACAATAGTAGCTCATCTTGACTATCCCGGTGCACCTGTTGATTCTCACGGAACCGCAGCCTACACGCCCATAACTGAATACTCCGAACCCATCATTTGCCTGCACATGAACCCCCCAATCAGATCATGCGCAAGACGCTCGCCGTCCCAAAAAGGGAACGATCTGGGCAAACAGAAGACAACATAATCGAATGCACGCAAAATTTTATTATCTTCCAAGCGCTTATTGAGTGACCTTGCTGGGGGTATAAGTGAAGGTAGGGCGGACGAAGCTGTATTTCCATAAACATGATTAGCATTTCCCTTGCCCAATTGACATCATCCCAAACACAATTGTAGAGGAACACATACCGGTCCGAGTTGTAGATCTTGGCATCCGTACCAAGGAGCTCCTTCTCACGAGCCTTGTCGGCATAGTAGCGACGAGCCTGGTCACGGTCCTCCTCGGCCTGGAGAAGAGGCATGATGTGTATACGGCCCCACATCTTCTCACGGGCGAGTTCGCTATTTCATTCCCACATTTGTCAATTTCCATTTCTTCCTTTGCCGGTTATTCGGGGGGTCAGGCATGGACATACTATTGTTCACGGACACCGTAGAAGAGCTTGTAGTATCCGTAGCCCATGATCAGGTGCATACCGATCAGGTAGTAGATGGGGCGGAAGCCACGGGCAGGGATGTTGCGCTATATAATTCAATTAGCCATTGGCCTTGCTTTGCTCGTTCGTTCGAATGTAGGGTGTGTGTGGTTGCTCGTCGTTGGAACGGATAAATCGGACGTTTCGTTTCGTCTCTGGTTTAACGCACCTTGTACTGCACGGGCAAGTAGCCCCCCTGCGGGGGCATATCCTGAGGCATGGTGACTGAGGAGGAAAAAGGACTGGCGAGACAAGAGGAGGGGAGTGGGGGGTGCCGCAGCCTTTCAATCGAGGGTGGTGCTGGGAGATATGATGCGGTTGCGGATGGGAACTTGGGATGTTGTGTCACGTGATACATGCATGGTTTGGTAATGAGCGCTGAGGGGGTTTTGATTGGTGGGGGGCGCATTTTGGGTGATCTTCAGCTGGATAGCCGCTGGGTGGGTGCTTCAACTGATTTTGTACCTGTTGGTGATTGTCTGTTCACTTTCTTTATTACTCTTTATTTTTTGTCTCTGTAAGGGATTATTTATCGGATTTGTTGTGATAGGGGAGAGAAAGAATTATTGCTGATTGAGGATTCCGACTACGTTATGGAGGAAGACAACGATCGGCCTAGAAAGCTTCCTAAGCTTGATCACGACGAGTCTCAGGATTCTGAGCCCAGAATGACCGGTGCGCTGCAGGTTGCTGATAATGTCTCTACGGCTGCTACGGCTGGGACAGACAATGGCGACAATGAGCAACCTATCATCACAGCCGAGAATGATACTACTACTACTACTACCCACGGCGCCGCCGCCGACAGCACTACAGTCCCCACCACCGAAGATGGAGCGCCCAAGATCTCCAAGCGCGAGATGAAGCGCCAACGCCGCCGCGAACAATGGGACCAGCAGCGCGATCTGCGACTCGCAAAGCGCAAGAAAACCGCACAGGCGCGCAAAGAGCGCCGCCGCGCGGCGTTCGAACAGGCGCGGCTGGATGGTACGGAAGCTGAACTGAAGAAGCAATACGAACGGACTCAGGAGCGCTTCCGCAAGTCGACGCTGCTTCCGCTTACACTCGTCATTGACTGCGGATACGACGAGTTGATGTTGGAGAAGGAGCGGATTTCACTGGGGTCGCAGATCACGCGGTCGTACTCGGATAACAGTCGGTCGGTGTATCGGTCACATCTGGTGTTTTCGTCGTTCAATAAGAAGTTGAAGGAGCGGTTTGATACGAAGTTGAATAAGCATTACTTGAACTGGAAGGGGGTTAGGATCCTGCCGGATGATTTCGCCGAGGTGGCGGAGAAGGCGAAGGAGTGGATGGTTGTTCCTGACGGGGGTAAGATGGAGGGGGTCTTTGCTGATAAGTCGGATATGAAGCCTGAGGAGGGGGAGGTGGTTTATCTGAGCAGTGATAGTCCTCATACGTTGACGGAGTTGAAGCCGTTCAGTACGTATATTGTTGGGGGATTGGTGGATAAGAACCGGCACAAGGGGATTTGTTACAAGCAGGCTGTGGAGAAGGGGATCAAGACGGCTAAGTTGCCTATTGGGGATTATATCCAGATGGCGTCCAGACAGGTGCTGGCTACGAATCATGTCGTGGAGATCATGCTCAAGTGGTTGGAGCTGGGGGATTGGGGCAAGGCGTTCTTGGCTGTTATTCCGCAGCGGAAGGGTGGGAAGTTAAAGGAGTCGGGGGCTGAGGCGGAAGGGTCTCAGCACGAGGAGGATAATGCAGAGGAGGAGGAAGAGGAGGTGTTGGAGCAGGCTCAGGAGGTTACTGATGAGGCGGTTGAGCAGGCCCAGCAGGCTGCAGAGGAGCCTGATCAGGCTATGGCAGAGGCATCTGCGGAGAGCAAGTGAGGGGCTTGCTGTTGAACATAGTGTATATATGCAGCGGTATAAGCTGCCATGAGCTGTCTATTCGATAAGTAGCTGGCTAATCTACATTTCTTCCAATGACTAGCAGGAAGTGATGCTTCATACATACTGGGTTTGTACTGTTGGTGGAAGTGGTGTAGTGAGATGACATAATTACACCGCCACACGTGCTGCGCCACATGGTTGCCACCGAGCGATGGATGACGGCAACCAAAACAACAACAACTTCGCCGTTCCATCTTTTTTTCGTTTCTTCCTTCCAGAAGCTCCACAGAGACTCGCCTGCTCTTTGCTCTGTTTGCTGTCTGGGCCCTGGCCTTCTTCACTCTGCCCCCGGACCAAGGCTCATCCTTTCCTGTTTACTTTCCGTCCCCTCTGTTGTCTGGTGACCTGCCACAATCCCTGTCCCTAGCAACCCACCTTTATCTCAAAGTTCAGTAAACAAGGTTGCTGTTGCTGAGCAGCAAAGCAGCTCCAGCCATGTTTGTGCTCCGCAACGGTAAGTCACTTCCATTCCCGGATGTCTTTTCCTCGAGGGCAGCTCTGCCTTTACTTTGGCTTTGCTACCCCGCCATCTGCCCCTCCTCCCCTCATCCTCCGTCCCTGCTTCCTCCCATCCTACCTTCATCACTTCTTGGTCCCCTCTCATACTGACGTATCCTCTCGGGACTTGTGCAGTGAGCAAGTACCTCTTCGGAGACTCTTCCAAGGAATCTATTATCGAGATCCCTCAGGGACAACTCTACCTCGTTCGCCCTCTGTCGCCCAAGGGCTACTCGGAGCTCATCTTCAAGGACGCCGCCGCCTCCATCAGACGCACCGGTCAGGAATTTCAGTACCAGCTTGTTATCCAGCGCGCCTACGAGGAAGGCGAGGAGGAGCTCGGGGAAGAGGACGACGAACAAGGCGGCAGTGACAGCCTCGACAAGGACGAAAAGGTCTTCCTGCTCGATCAGGCGTTGCACTTCCGCTCCGAGGTGCGCGACGGAGGAGCAAAGATCTTGGCCTGGAGAGACCTGAGTGGCGACGTTGGCGACCTCTTCGAGTTTGTCTGCGACCCCTCCGTACCTTCGGATAAGGTTTCCACCTTCGAGCTAGCCGCTCTGCAGTGCCAGTACGAGCGCGCATACCGCCGGAGCTCCCAGAACGTGAGCCGCGAAGATCTGCAAGAGTTCTCTTTCCAGGAGGAGAGGCCTATCCCGTCTGCAAGCCCTATCTCTTCTTCAGCACGGTCTCCTGCTCGGTCGCTGACATCTGGAGAGTCGACCGCCGCCATGGTGAAGGACGTCGAATACTCGCGGTCCAAGGGACAAATCAAGCCCGCAGCATCGGAGGAAGCCACGGTTGCTCCCCCTTCTGCAGCACAGCCTGAAGCTAGAGAGGTCCTCGCCCAGGAGAAGGCCGAGCTGCACCTGTTCGATTTTGTGAGCGGAACGTTCGTTTTGCAGGCGGCCAGCGTGACTGCAACGGTTTCTGAGGTTGGTGACTGGACGTACTGGCTCCAGATCAGCGGAGAAGATAAGGAGTGGCTTGGACAGGCTGTCGTTGCGGACATCAACCCCGTTTTCAATTTCGAATATCTGTCTTTTATCTTCAATGCCTACGGTGAAGATGGTTCGGCTTACTCCTGGCTCTTGCGTTTCAAGGACCAGGAGACTGAGGAGAAGTTCCAGGAGGGTCTCATGCAGGCTCTGTGGGAACAGCTGAATGAGATGAAGTGGACGAAGGTCAAGGAACAAGAACGGGAGTACGTGCTGGATGCCTTCCAGGATCTCACAATGGAGGATGCCGAGGAACGCGAAGCCGAGGCTGAAGAGGAGGAAGAAGAGGAGAGTGAGGAGGAAGACCACTACGACGGTCAACGTAGCGAACACTACGACTCTGACGAGGAGCAAGATGATGTCGTTACGCGGGATGACGATGGAAATGTCAACTCTCAACTTGCTGTCGGTTACAAGCATGACCGCTCCTTTGTCGTCCGTGGCTCCAAGATTGGCGTCTTCAAACACACTCCCGACAACAACCTGGAGTTCTCTACCAACATCTCCAAGGTTGAGACCCCCAGGGGCAAGCTCTTCAGCCCCAAGAAGGTCATGTTGCACGCCGAAGACACCAACATGATCCTCCAGAACGGTGACGATCCGAACTCGCTTTACCGGATGGACCTGGAGTATGGTAAGATTGTGGATGAGTGGAAGGTCCACGATGACATTCCGGTCACTACCTTTGCTCCTGAGACTGTGAGTAACCTCTTTATCTGGTTTTATGTGAAATATCTGCTGACTTGCCTAGAAATTCTCTCAAATGACCGCTGCACAGACCTTCGTTGGTGCTTCTAAGAATGCCCTCTACCGCATCGACCCTCGTGTCGACGGAAACAAGTTGGTGGACACCGACCTGAAGCAGTATGCTAGCAAGAACGACTTCTCTTCGGTGGCTACTACTGAGAAGGGATACCTTGCTGTGGCTTCCAACAAGGGTGATATTCGGATGTTTGACCGTCTTGGAATCAACGCCAAGACGCATATTCCTGCTCTGGGAGAGCCGATCATCGGTCTGGATGTGTCTGCAGACGGCCGCTGGGTGCTCGCAACCTGCCGGACATACCTCCTTCTCATCGACTCACTGCAGAAGGAGGGCAAGAACGAAGGCAAGCTTGGCTTCGAGCGCTCCTTCGCCAAGGACTCCAAGCCCCAGCCTCGTCGCCTGGGTTTGCAGCCTGCCCATGTGGCCCAGTTCCAGCACGAGACGAAGAAGCCTATCAGCTTCACCCAGGCGCGTTTCAACACCGGTGTCGACAGCCAGGAGACATCCATTGTCACTGCCACTGGTCCTTTCATCATTACCTGGAGCTTGAAGAAGGTCGTTGCCGGACGCAAGGACCCCTACACCATCAAGCGTTACGGCGAGGACGTCATGGCGGACAACTTCCGATTCGGCTCGGACAAGAACGTCATTGTGGCCCTGCCCAACGAAGTCAACATGGTTGCCAAGAGAAGTTTGATGAAGCCCACGCGCGAGAGTATCGCCGGACCCCCCGTCACTCCCCGTCGCCGAACCCAATGGGGCAGCCGGTTAGGCAGGGACGAGATTGTCAACTCGCCTTACTGATGAGTGGCTTTTCATGTTCTTTTGCGCCGCTGCATACCCTCTTGATGTTTCGGTTTCTCATACTTTTCTATTTTCTTCTTCCACTCTGATATTTTGTGAAACGGTTTAATGTCTTTTCACGGTGATATGAACGGATGGCGAACGGTTGCACTGCGGAATTAAGCATTGATATTTGTACCCTTATTAGTAGCTGATAATACGACTACGAATTATGACTGACGTTGCATGATGGTTAATGGATGACATTCTGGGCCGATGGCCACGTAGTATATAGTTGCGCTTATCGTCGACAGGTAGCCCGTACCTGTTGCGGCGCTGCCTCAATCCCGTAGCTAGCTTGACGTAGGCAAATCAAGCCAGCAATTGCACATCCAGTCCCAAAACACCACCACCATCCAACCAACCCATGATTATGGACCATTCTGCCAGCAGATAATAGTCATGTGACGCGTCCCACTCAAACCATTACAGCCAAATTAACATTGGCAATATAGCAAGCAGTACTTCCCACTCAAGACCCAACATACCACACCTCCACATCAATAATATCAAACTTGACGCCCTCATCGGAGAGCGGCTCATTCCCGAAAGTCTGGCACGACGCACTAACACCCTTTTCGAGACTCGAGTCAACCCATAAGCCATAATGTCCGTCACTACACCCATTAGCATCATCATCATAAGACACAGCACAAGCACAAAGAAAAGGAATCAACATACCCCCCACCCAAACTCAAAAACCCCGTCTCACAAAACATCATGTAATCATTAACCCCGGAATACGGAAACGCCTTGAAGCGAATCTGCTCGGGCGTGACAGTCCCACTCGTCCTTCCACTTGCACCACCATTTCCAGCAGCTCCAGAGGTAGAAGAAGTAGGAGAAAGCCACTTCTCGCCCTCCGCCCGACGCAGCGTCGTCGACCGTCCCGCATTCGTTGTGTCCGCGCTCGGAGGCAACGGTAATCCGGCTTTCTCGAGCATTTCGGCCTCTACACCTGCTCCAGCTCCTCCTCCTTCCTCACCAGCGGTATCCCCATTAGTGATGAAATTGCTCAGCATAGCCGTAGCAGGCGGTAACACGCTCGCCCTCCAGAGGAAACACTCCCCGGTGCCGTAGTAATGCGAGTCCGGGTGCGGGGGGTCAGTCATGTAAGCGCCGAAGACGGCGTTCGAGGAAGGGGATGCATCCCTGATGACGAGGACGTAGCCGGCGCGGGGGCTGCGGGTGGAGGCGATGTCGCGGCAGTTGTCGTATAGGGTGGAGAGGGAGGCGCCGTCGCGGTCCAGACTGTAGGCTAGGTGCCAGGTGTTGCAGAGTTGGAGGCGCGGGGGGACTAGCAGGCGGATTTCTTCGGCGAGGGAGCGGGTGAGGAGCGGAGAGGGGTCGGAGAGCGTGAGGGGGGTTAGAGGGGGTGGTTGGAAGGGGGAGGCGGTGCGGATGGGGGTGAAGACGGGGTTGGAGGGGTCATTGGTGGTGGTGGTTGTTTTGCGGCGCATGTTGTTGTTGGTGTTGGTGGAGGGGGGGTCGGTGAGGCGGCGGTAGAGACCGGAGACGACGTGGGTTACTGGGTAGGAGAAGTAGGAGGCGGCGGATTGTTGGAGGGAGGAGGGGGTGGTTGCGTTGGTGCTGGTGCTGCTGGTTGTGGGGGGTGGTCGAGATCCAGATCTCGAGCTGGAGGAGGACGACATGCGTGCTGCTGCTGCTGCTGTGCGGGCGATGACGTGGGTTTTTGGTTTGGGGGATTGATTAGTTAGGATGGGAGGGAAGGGGGGAGATTAATAATGGGGATAGGGGGGAGATCATGCAATTGAGATGGATGAGAGGGGAGGAGAGGATGATGTGGTGGAGAGTTAGAGGGAGATAAGACGATGGGACGGGGAGATGCAGAAGGGAGGAGATTAATTAATTGATTAATTTAATGTTCGTCACGCTTTGCGGATCGGCGGGAGAGCTTCTATACGGAGGTTTCCTCCTGCCTACTTTTGGTAATTAGTCGTGCTTGTGCATGGAACGGCACATGCCAATTGTCAATATTTGTGCAGTTAAGAATACTATTGGTGAATCAACAATTTACAACTACTTATCTGCTAGTTACTAAAATACTGTACTCCTACTTCTGCCATACCTGCTCGACAAACGCCGTCAGATCGGCTTTCAGCTCGCGTGGACGCTCCAATGCGGCAAAGTGTCCTCCCTGTCGATCAATGTCAGATTTTCAACGCACGAATTTATACTGGGGTTAACCTACCTCTACATGATCCCGGAAGAATACTAGATTTCCCGTTGTAGCAATCCAGCTCCGAGGTACAGGACAAAGGTCCTTGGGGAAGTAGGAGAACCCAAACGGCTTGTGAATATATAATTCCTTCTGCAGCATCGTCGCTCCATTGGGAGCGGAGGCAGTTGGGGTAGTCTACACTGTCAGCACAACACATACCAATAGTACTACTGTCACTTCAGGTGACATTCTTCACACATACCTCGCGGTAGGTATGAATTGCCCGTGGGAAACTTTCCGTCAGCCAATACAGGCTGACCATCTCGAGAATGGTCTCAGAAGGGAGGGGTTTATCCACCCATTGGAGATATTTCTCACCAATCCTGGATGCAGTCAGCCAGAAACTTTAACATATATTTGTCCGAAAAAAGCAAACCCACCATGCAAGTAATGCGATCGGACTGCTGGACAGCACGTGGCCAATCGTACTGGGCCGAGTACTGTGCTCCATGGCATAAGCTAGGCCATCGGTCATGAATTTCTCCATTCGCGCGACTCCCTCTTTCTCCGCCGCCGTCAAGCTCTCAATTGACGGGCCTTCAGGGGGAGCCCTCATTGCGCACAGGTTCACTATACTGTTGGTGTCTTGTAAACATATATGAGGGCGGTGCACTTACAATGAACCGCTGGTGGAAGTTAGCATGGCAGCATATTCGATGGCGGAGCAGCACTAACCTTTGCAGGCGTCGAAACCTACGCCCAATAGCCGTCCAACAAAGCTACCAATATCGCCTCCTTGAATAATATAACCACTTCCGAACCCGAGATCCTTCATCAACTGGTCTACGACCCGGGCGTTGTCCATCAAGCCGAAGTTCTTGTCCAGCGGGGGGCCAGATGAGAAAGTATACCCAGGAAGGGACGGAACAATCAAATGGAAAGGCAAGGTTTCAGGGCTGTACTCCTCCCGGAATAGCTGCAGGATTGGGTAGAACTCGACGAAGCTGCCTATGGATTCATTAGACCTGCTTGAACATACCGTAAGCGAGGCAAAGTATATATTTACCGGGCCAACCATGAAGCAATGCGATAGGTACAGCATCCTCCCTTTCGGAAAAGAGAGCAGCAAAGTGAATCGTGAGACCCTCAATCTCAGTAGTAAACTGAGGGAAAGAGTTCAATCGAGCTTCAAATGGTCGCCTAAATTAACCGATCAGCATTGCACATCGATGGACCAGCTAAGGAACCGAACCAGTCAAACTCCGAGAGCCATTTCTCTCGCATAGATGTCAGCCATTCGGAAGTGATGCCAAATCGGCCATCCGACTGCAGGCTCTCATAGGTGGGAGGAGCAATCTTGGACAGTCGGATGAGGGTCTTCAGGTCATTCAATTGTTTATCCGGAATGGAGACAGTGAAGGGACTAGGCGAAATGCTCGCCGACGAGGGAAACTTGGCGAATGGAGCGGACATGATGAGTTGAAGCCAAGTGGATGTATGAATAGAAGACATGGAGATGGAAGAGAGAAGTGGTGAGAAATGAGGGGTTGCCCAGAAAATGTATTGAATGATAAGCAATATTAGATGATGGGCGGGGTCACGGCTGGTCCGAGGCTCACCTATTGCTCATCCAGTGAGCATCACGCAGATACGACAGCGCAAATATTGGACAGAACTAGCATGCTTATAAGCATTTCTGCAAGCCCTCTTGGCATTGCACCAATCATCTGTCATTATAAGAGTCAGCATATACCACTACCTCTCACCTGATGCGGATGGGTGCAGCTATCACTCATTGAAGTAGCTTAGTTCTTCCGTCCTCTATTTATTCGAGACTATGATTTTCCACGAAAGGTTTGGAGAATAAGAACTACCTACAAGTATTTCGGGATCCAAGTAATTTTAACGAGGCCAGCAGATCGACATGCATGTATACGGCCATCATCATGCACAGGTTGTGAAGGCATTGCGACTGATTAGATTACTCTTGAGGTTACTACTGCAGTATTTGTCACTGGTCTAACTAAACTGATTGGAGCTTATTATCTAGACAAGTTACTTCCATTTGTGTCCGGAATCCCTTAGAACAGAACAAACACGGGCAGTATATACTGAAGTATCAAGACACCCTTGGATACCTCCGCGTGGTAATGAATATGGTAGCTAAGAAAATGAAGACACTAATAAACATCCTTTCTGTCATAATAAACCCTTCCAACCCTATCTACATAAAATCTCTCGTCCTCTCCTCACAAAACTCCCAAAACTCACACGCCCTCCCCGTCCCACCCTCCTCCTTACTCTTCATCGCATCCAACAACCCCGGTGCCACAGCATCATGAATCCTCCCCCAAGGAACAACATACGCACCATTATTATCTAGCCCCAGATCCCCCGACAACCCCGCATACAGCACCGTATGAGCCGCCAAAGCCGGACTATGCAGCAGCGGCCAAGAGAGAATCTTCATCCAGCGCGCATTCCTCAAGAGATTCGTATTAGCTGCGCCCGGATTCTGCGCTACGCTGACGATTCCCTTCTCGCCATACCGACGGGCCATTTCCGTGGACAGAAACCAGTTGCCCAGTTTCGAGGTGACGTAGTTCCGCACAGCGTCTTTCGGTGGGTTGGTCAGCTCCGACATGATGATGCCTTCGGGCGGAGCGGAGAGCTCGGCGACTTGACTGCTTGTCCAGATGACGCGGACGGAGCCGGGGGTGGTGAGTCCAGAGTCGGATGATGCTGCGGCTTCGAGGAGGGGAGTTAAGAGCTGAGTGAGGAGGAAAGGGCCCAGACAGTTTGTTGCGAGTTGGAGCTCGATGCCTTGTTTGGAGACGCTGCCTAGCGGGGGTTGGGACACGCCGGCATTGTTAAAGAGGAGATCGAGCTTGGATTCTTTGCTGATAAAGGTAGATGCAGTGGCCTTGATAGTAGAGAGGTCGTCTAGATGGAGTTCGAGAAAATGTAGCTCGCCCGAGCTGGACTTGCTAGCCTCAGGGACGGACTTCTGGATAGCCTGGATGGCCGCATGAGCAGCGGACTCTGATCGTCCTGCTATATAGACTTTGGCGCCTTTGCGGTAGAGGACCTTGGCTACTTCAAAGCCGATGCCTGATGCGCCGCCGGTGATGAGCACCACTTTGCCCGATTGCTGGGGGATGTCATCGGGGGTGAAGGTTGGGCGGGGAGGGAAGAACTGAGAGAATTGGGCTCCCATTGTGGATGTGGATAGTAGTTGGTGCCGTAAGATGGAGATTCAGTCACATATTTATGTGTTGGGTTCTTGGGCGAGACCCCTGCAGGGTATATTTAGTCCCGTCAATCGTTATACATGTTTAGACGAGCGGACCAACCGGCGCTACTATAGAACTGACCGGCTCGGTTGTTAGCGTTGACACTCAGCTAGCTCAGCCTGCTGGAGATTCGCTTTGTTTATGTTTCTGTAATTAGCATGTTTTAGGTAGATCATTACTTGTTGCATGAATAATAGGAAAAGGACGATGGACTGGGGGTAGAGTGTCGTTGGGGAGGAGGCTGTCCAAATGTTGTTCCAGCCTTGCGAAATGCATCCAGTCCTGGCCAGCAGATAGTCACGGGCTGCCATTGCCTTGCAAGATTTAGTTACCGCAGAATAGACCACTAATAAGGCCTTAAGTACATCCCCAATTCGCCCAAGGCTATTGTTGCCGTAAAAACGCCGCTGCGATATCAATCGGCAACATACCCGATAGTCCATAACGCTACGGCAACCCTCCCGACGCATCGGCATCTAAGTACAGTAGTATCCCAATCTCGTAGTATTTAGATGCATCCATACTCCGCATATTCCTATTCAAAGAATCTAATCCCCTAAGATAATTTTCCCTCTATTCATTCCTACCTCATTACACCCTCCATCTACAAATCCCAAAGGAAAAAAAACTAAAAAGCACCATGCACCACCTCCCCAACCCCACCATCCAAACCCTGCTCCTAAACCTCACACGCCCCGAAATCCACCACTTCCTCCACACCATCTCCTCCACCCTCATCTCCTTCTCCACGACCCCGGAACGACAACACCAACCCCCACCAAGCACCCTAACCCGTCCCAACGGACAACGCACACTCTTCCGCCCCTTCACCTCCCCAGACAGCATCGGCGCCAAGCTCGTCGTCGAGCCAGCTCCCAACTCAACCACCGGAAAACGCGAGCACCCGATCCAAGGCCTCCTAATCATACTAGACCCGCTGGGCAATCCCACAGGGATCTTATCCGCCGAGGAAATAACCGGCTACCGGACGTCGATGAGCGCCATGATTCCGTTCTCCTGGCGGAAGCATGTATCGAATATAGTGATATTCGGGGCTGGGATGCAGGCATTGTGGCATACGAGATTGATATTGGGGTTGAGGGGGGAGGAGGTGAGGTGTATTACGTTTGTGGGTTCTTCGAGGGGACGGGTGGAGGCGTTGGTTGGGAGGGTGAGGGGGGAGATGGGGGGGAGGTGGGGATCAGAAGAGTGTAAATTTCGGTTTGTGAGTGCTGATGGGAGCGATGGTGAGGTTGAGAGGTGTTTGAAGGAGGCGGATTGTGTGTTCTGTACGACGCCTTCGCAGAAGATGCTTTTTCCGGCGGCGTGGGTGATGGGTAGGAGAAAGCCGTTGGTTTCAGCGATTGGGTCTTGGTTGCCGGAAATGATTGAGTTGGATCCGGAGTTACTTAGGGGTGTGGTATGTGGTGAGGAGGGGGTTAATCCGTTGACTGGGGAGAGGGGGAGGGGGGTGGTGTTGGTGGATGATAGGGAGTATGCGATGCATGGCTGTGGGGAGTTTGTGCAGAGTGGGTTGGAAGAGGGGGATGTGGTGGAGATTGGGGACGTACTTGCTTTGAAGAAGGGGAGGACTCAGGTATCTGGTGATGAGCATGTTCGGCGTGTGGAGAGGTATATGGAGGAGGGGTTGGTTGTTTATAAGAGTGTCGGCGTGGGTCTTACTGATTTGACGGCTGGGAGGGAGGTATTGAGACTTTATCAGGAGAAGCAGGGTAGTTGTGAGATATAAGTAGTCGATTTTCATTTTTGACGGGAAGTTCACCATTGAGATGTTCAGCTGCAGGACGTATACGGGCATACTAGAACTACCAAATAGCATGGTTGTCCATCATCGTCGATACCCATTCTGCGTCAAACAATTCGATCGAGTTCGCCATGGCCATCATCTCAGAAGATGTCAACGATGGCTCAAATGCACATCCAGCCGCCGGTGTGGTATCACCACCAAGGAATGGATCAGAACAAGAGTTTCCGTCGATAGGTGTTGCAGTATGAGCTTCGTGCGAAGGAAAAGGCTGTCTTGTGTTAAAGTGTAGAGGAACTTCAGAATTGGATTGCCCATTCTGGTCCTGGTTTGGCAAGAGCAAATTCAGTTTCTCTTCTAGCTGCTGTATTTCCGAATGCCGGAAGCGTGCTATCTGATTTCCAGCCTCGACCATGTCATTAAATAGTAGGTCCGCTGTAGCATGCCACCACGTATCGTTGACTACCAATTGACGGTCAATTGCCGGAGCCATTAGAAGCACCACCGTGGAGATGAAAAGAGATTCCAGATCAAAAGTGAGGAAGGTTTCTAGTCGTTCTGTTAGTGCCATAACAATATCGGACGAACATGTTCTTTACCTATAAGGCCCTGAGACGCTAGACCGTGCAGAATTCTTATACTGTGCAGCGCAGAGTCTAAGCACATCTTGATCAGATTCCTTACATTCTGAGATTTTTGAAGGGATTGAACACCTGTTTCCGCAGACTCAAGTCGGATTTTAAGAAAGCAGAACAACAAAGGCCTGGTAGCCACTATTACGCACTAATCGAGTCAATATGAGAAGAATGACTAGGAAGATGAACCCACTTGTTGGTAAAATAGGTGCAAATATGCTGCTACTCGAGAGAGACCACTGTCTGTTGCTTCTAGACGCAGCGGGAATGATTTGTTGAGGTCATCTGCCAGTCCTGCTAGGTTGGACAATGCTCCTTTGATGTTCAATAAAAAGGTTCGGTTAAGTCTGCCATCAGTGGCATATACTGCTGTATGTTTTTGAATAAGGTTATCAAAGCTAGAAAGGAATGGGAACCTTACTGGCATTGATATCAGCTATGCTCCGGCATAATTTAATGTGCATGTCTAAGTTTGTCATATTTTCAGAGCCCTCAGGAGAGGGCAACCTGGCTTGAATGAAGCGGTCGTCGACAGACTGGGGAAGCCCCTGAATAGAGGTCATGTGTCTGTCCAAAATATAGACAGTCCACCAGATCTTCCGGCACCTCTCAACACTATGCCGTCCCAGTTCCGTGACGGGCATACAGGTGTGCATGCCATGAGCCATGGCCATTCGCATCGCTTGACCCACCTGTATCTAATCAGCTAACGACTTCGCAAATATCTAGTGAGGAGGCTGACATAGTTATGAGAGGCAGTTCGACAGTCGAGGGCTTGGTAGAAAATGGCAATACAGCATAGAATCTCGGTCGATACCATCGGTGAGGAGTAAAGGAGGGTGTGATCTGGTAGAATTTGCAAAGCTTTGACAAAGAGGCTGATACCAGGGGGCTTTCCCTTAAGGTACTTCACATGTGTGAACATTTTTCCGAAAGCCAGAATGATAAGAAAGTGGATGTACCATAGGCCTCTCGGTCTTGTCCTCTGACCTTCCGAGTAGAAACTATAGAGTGATTTCATAAAGTCACTGTCATCAAACAAGTGGTATAACTGCCCACAGCGAAACTTGACGGCATTGATCAGGAATATGGCATGGTCAAGTGTTGGAATGACAGGGCTTTCTGGACTCGGATCAGTTCGGGATCCGTCCCAGCCCAGGTCATATGCAGTTCCCTCGAACACCAGCGCCTCTGTTGGTAAGGATTCTTTATGAGCATGTTCATGAACCGCACTGAGTACGCGTCGAGCGAAGGACCAATTTGAGGATGTCCCTAAATAATCTAGAAAGCTGTTAGATGTTGCTCCATCTTATGAAGTGATATTAACATACAAGTTCTTCCATTGCCCGGTGACATAAAGGCAGGTGGCCCAGAGACAAGTGGATTCACCAATTCGGATTCAGGATAATCGCCTTCTGGGGGAGTATGGTAGTTATCCGGTATGCTTTCCGGAGGACGTTCACAAGAAGCTGAGCCTAGAAATGTTAGCATTGACTACGTCGCCAGACTTTGAGGAGAAACTAATGAGTACTATTGTCGGGAGCCAATCCTATCGTGTGAAGGTCACTCGTATGATTCTCCAACTGTGCCGCTCTCTGCTTCAATTCAGCAATATGCCTATGTAGCTCTCAATTGTGAGTCGACGGTATGGATGGTTAGGCCCGGGATGGCAGACCTCCGTGTCACTAGAACCTTCTGGCTCATGTCGTCAAAAATGCAAGAGAAATTTCGGTTGCTACAGCTATAGCATGGCTGTGTTCCAGAACACTTGATCTTCTGTCTTCGACATCGTACGCACCTTTTCAGACGACTATTAGCGACAGTAGATAGTTCAACACTTGAATGCCTCTTACACCTTAGCTGATCTCTTTCTGGCTTGTGCGACGCCTGCCACTGTACTCTTTCTCATATCGGGTGAAACTTCCAGAAGATTGATCCAGGAGAATGTTTCAAGTATGACGGCGCAGTAGGGGAATTCAGTAGAAAAATGCGATAGAACAACTTAGAGTGAGGTTCAGAAGCGAGGCAAAGAAGTGAAGTTCAGCAGAGTGTCAGAATAGAAAAAGGCACCGATCTTACACCTGTATTGAAAAGAGACGTAAGACGAAATCACAAATGAGAAAAAGCTATATACTGAGAAGAGATTGCAACTTGAGAAGCAACTCTGATAAGAAAGATACTATAATGTAAGAAAGATTGATGTGAGAAGAGACAGATGCTTATCAGAAGATACCCCCACAAACAGGCGGGGAAGTATTCCCCGCTCATCGGCGTATTTCCGTTCTAAGACTCGCAATAGCACCAGGTTTACTAACCATAGTGAGATGCCCTTCATGACTCTATGATCCTCTTTCGTGAATCTGATATCATGATGTCAACGGTATCTCTAGACTATTGATTCGGAATAATTTCTTTAAGAATTCAATTGGAAAGGATTGAGCATAGTAGCCAAAATCCTGCCACTTTCATCTAAACCACAACTAACCATAGATGAGTAATCTATTTTGATTGCGACAATTGGCAAATGAGGGTTTCACAATTGCAACAGCTTGTCGGGAACGTTGCCGATGCATGTTGAGATATCGCTTAGGCTCCCGAACAGACTGATCCACTTCCCCGCATGCACTCTATCACTGAATGGCAGTACTATGTTCCATCCAAGTCAGGAACGAATGACAAGTGACCTGAAGCTTGATGGGAAGATGTCTCTGATCGGCTACACTACCGGTGATGTGGCATTGGCTATCTCTCCTGCTACGGACAGTACGCAAAGTATCAGTAGAGCAGACATGCTCGAGCGGGCGCTGAAAGCGATAAATAGCCCACGAGCTCTGGCTAATCCTACAACTGACATCCATCTCAAACCTACTTCCCTTGAGTAATTTCCACCTCGAAAATGAGATTCGCCAGATCCATCAACGTCGTGGGCTGCCACTGTGCCGGCGAAGTATGCGATGTGATCGTCGGAGGTGTTTTGAATCCCTCGGGATGCAGCACCATGTACGAGAAGCTCGTTCACTTTCGCGACAAAGAAGACCATATCCGCCAACTTCTCATGCAAGAGCCTCGGGGACGTCCGGCCATGTGTGTGAATCTCGTCTTACCTCCTTGCAACCCAAAGGCCGACGCTGGGTTTTTAATCATGGAGACTGAGGAGTACCCTGCCATGTCTGGAGGAAACACCATTGCCACTACGACTGTTCTTCTGGAGACAGGCATGGTGCCCATGACTGAACCAGTCACCAAGATAGTCCTGGAAACTCCAGCAGGTCTAGTGCCTGTTACTGCGGACTGCGAGGGTGGCAAGTGCAAGGCGGTCGCGTTTGATAACGTCCCTTCGTTTGTTTTCGCCTTGGATTACAAGGTCGATGTCGCTGGACTGGGGACTGTCTCGGTTGATATTGCATGGGGAGGAATGATCTACGGTATTGTCGATGCGACTTCACTTGGGATTAGCATCAGCAACCAAAACGGGCCGAAGTTGATTGAATACGGAGAGCGAATCAAAGATGCTCTCCAAAAGGCTCCATTTGTTCCCGTCCATCCGGAGAACCCCAGCATAAGAGGCGTTAGTATCCTCGAGTTTACAGAGCCACTTCAGCGGGATACTATGACGGCTGTCAATACCGTTGTGGTTTCCCCAGGGCGGTTCGACCGGTGCCCGTGTGGCACAGGAAGCTGCGCAAGGATGGCAGTACTCCATGCTCGGGGTCAGCTCGCAGTAGGCGAGAGATTCCAGCATCACAGCATCATTGGAAGCACTTTCGAGTGTCACATCCGCGGGACGCAGAAATTGGGGGACTATGACGCTGTCTTGCCGACGGTCAAAGGAAGTGCTTGGATCAATTCGTTCAAGCAGATGGTGTTGGATCCTACTGATCCTTGGCCGGTGGGCTTCCGAGTTGGCGATCAATGGCATATGGCAGAGTAACAGCATGAATTTACGCTTTGGAGTGTAGCAGACAATCCCAGTTCGAGTTATGTCCATAGTTATGTATATATCCTGACTAAGCATAGCGGGATGTATTCCCAAAGCAGCATAAAACCCAAAACGGCAATGCAATTCATCCCACTTGAACATTTAATATAATGAAATATTGATATACTATCAACTATGACAACAATGGCCCAACACCCCTCCTCAGATACAACCATCTTTCTGGACCAGCCTCCAAGCTGTCTCCAATTCCACCCCTCCTCCCGAAACCACTTCCTCGTAGGCACCTACCTGCTCTCAGAACACAAGGAAGATGACTCTGCACCAATCCAACAAACCAAAACCGGCAGTCTCCAACTATGGCACTTAGATGCTGCCACAAACCAACTGTACCCTCCCCCTATACCATCTAAATACATAAGAGGTGTATGGAACTAACAAGTGACAGAACCCTCCGCCACAAACATCCTCTCCCATTCGCAGTCTTCGACCTGCACTTCCACCCCACTGACCCAACCCTGGCTGCGATAGCAACCAGCGCAGCATCAGTGGTATTTTTCCGCATCAACCCCGACGTTGATGCAGGAGAGGACGTCAGTTCCTGTATTAAAGAGATCCACTCCCACCAGGTCCACGAAGACCCCTCCATCCCAGCACTCTATCTAGCCTGGTTACCTGCTGGATGGCATTCTTCCACCACCTCCACTTCCAATGCTAAAACAGAGTACGGCTTCGCCGTAACCTTCTCCGACGGCCTAACCACCATCTTCAACACTAATCTATCATCCCCTCCCAATTCCTTCTCCATAGCAGAGGAATCATCCTACCCCGCCACCCAGCAAATAGAAGTCTGGTACGTAGCAGCAGCTACATACCCCCCACCTCAACCTGATGGTGATAAGATGCGCTACATCTTTACAGGGAGTGACTTTGGCTCGTTGCATACTCGCTGTCTTCCTGCCCCTTCCAGCAACACCAACTCAGACGATGAGGATGAAGCTGAGGCTAGCACGCCCATCCTCTCCCACGACGACCGCGCCCGCCACCACACTGCAGGCGTGACCGCCATTTTGCCACTTCCTGTGCCTATGACTGATGGCGCGCCGTGGCTTCTAACGGGAAGTTATGATGAGTCGTTGCGGGTGTATCATGCTTCTCGGCGGGGGGAGGTACTTGGAGAGATTGGGCTCGGGGGTGGGGTTTGGAGGTTGCAGATTCTTTCAACCCAGTCTCGTACCTTGGATGGTGAGGAGGGGGTTAGGGAGTGGGAGTTCCTGGTGTTGGCGAGTTGTATGCATGCTGGGACGAGGGTGGTTAAGGTGCGGGTTGTGGGTGGGGAGAGTGGGGAGTTGAAGGAGTGTGAGATGGATGTGCTGGCGGAGTTTACGGAGCATGAGAGTATGAATTATGCGAGTGATGTGTGGAATCTGGGGGGAAATCAGGGGGAAGGAAGGGAGTTGGTGGTTGTGTCGAGTAGTTTCTATGATCGGAGGGTTTGTGTGTGGCGGGTTAATGTATGAGTATACTTGCCTAGTCTACATAAGAGCTGGGAAGAGGGAGATGAAGTAGGTTTATGTTATGTTCGTAAAACGCTCGAGAGGTCATATGCAGAAGTGAACATCAACAACAGGTATACCAACGTAACACGCCCCGTCCCGAAACGAAACCCGAGAATGAAATGATTATAGATAAATCAGACGATCGTCTCCAGCTCGCGCGCATAGCCGATCGCATTCTCGATGATCGTGCCGCTGGCCACGAGGATATCCTTCTCGGACCGAGCAGCCGCCTCGGGTTCGACGGGGAAAAAGATGCGGCCGTCACGGAGGACCCAGCCGCGCTGCTGGGCGAACTCGATCACGGCGCCCTCCGAATCGAGGAAGAGGAGGTTCTTGGCGTTGGAGATGGGGAGCGACGGGTACGCCTTTTCGGAGCAGTCTGCGATTTCGCTGCGGATGGTTCCGACCAGGACCTGCATCATCAGCATTAGCTAAACAAACCATCGACGAGAAAACGCGGCGCGCATATTATAGTCAGGCCATGGTATACTCACATTCGAGAACAGCGCAAAGTCCTCCGAGGGCACGCGCTCAGAGTTGGTCTCCCTCCACACCTTATCGTAGCTTCCCTCCATCAGATTCCTCTCCAGCTCAACCGGATACTTGATGAACGGATCATCCTCGACGCTCTTGCCCTTTAGACTCGCCTCCTCAACCAGACCCTCCAGAACCGTGTGGAAGCTCGTGCTGTCGCCCATGCTCAACAGCAGCAGCAGATACAAGCCTGTGATCTTGCTGCGCTGGCTGTTTCGGATGTCCACGTGGCCGGCATTCGTGCTGTCCCGCTCCAGGTCGTAGAACGGCTGAAGCTGCTGGTAGTATCGTGTGAAGGTGGGTGCGTCGGTCTGTCGGATAGAGGCGATAGCTCCGAGCTCGAGAACCTCGCGGGCTTGGGCGACCAGCTCGGCGGGTGCTGACGGCGTGGGAATCAGGACATTCTGCAGGAGGAGGGCGCGCTTGCCGCGACTGAGGAGGTCGTTGACGGCTTCGAATTGTTGCCGGCCGAGGGCGCTGTGGAGCTCGGACACGATGACCTTGAGGTCGTTGGCCATTGTGGATTAGAATAGTAGAATGTATCGGCTGTGTAAATATATGTGTACGAGGAGCAAAATAGGGAGGAATTAGGAATGATAGACTGGTTGGATTGGTGTGGTGGTGCAGTGGTTTCGAGATGGAAGTGCTGGTTGTGACGTTGGCAGCCGCAGCTTCCAGGAGCTTCGGAGAAGCCCATCACGTGACATCATCGGGCAAAACTACGGATCGAGCTTATCTTGTTTACATCGTTTGAACTCTTTTCTCTCTTGTGTTGCAAAGAGCCACTGGCTCTTCTGCTTACAAGCTGCATACTTTCAACTATGCTTCATCATATATTTTCGCATAAAAGGAACCCGCCTTTCTGCAGCTTTTGAAAGACGCCCTCCGCGTCGTCTTTGGCCGCCGCCTCCGCATGAGCCTAATATTCCAGGCTCCGTAGCTGCCAAGGAGTTCCTGAGAGCCACTCGCAAAGGTCATACACCCGAAATCCAAGAGTAGGCCCTTCTCTCTGGCCAGCGACTGTAGCGTCTTGGACATACCTTCTACGGTCTTTTGGGCCGCGGCATGGTCACTACCGTCTTCAGGCCATTCACAGGTGAAAACCCACCCAATAGATTGCGTGACGTCCTTTGGTCCTGTGGTTGAAGATCAGGCATTAGGGGAGAACTGAAAGCAAATTATAGCACTGTTGGACACTTCAAAGGCCCATGATATTTCTCCGCGATCTTGAACGACCTGAACACCAGCCGTACCCATTGACTGAATGGTGTTATGCAAGACAGCGCCAGGAGGGCGGGTCTTGCAGACTTCGAGCCTCGTCTTATGGATGTCCTCATATAGCTCCTGGAGAAATACTCGTAGTAATTTTGCAAATGGGACGTCTGTGATCACGCATTTATTTATCATTTTCGATTGAACTAATGCGTATCGCCCCCGTGGGGTCTGTACTCACTTCTGGGAAGTTTGGGCGTGGCCCACCTCGCCCAGAGCTTGGGAAAATGACAGTAGCGTGCCGTTAGTGGATGGCAGCACTGTAGCCACCAGGCCTTTGAGGCTGTGGAACGGCCTAGAGGCCTTCGGTGGCTCGGCTTCGTGGTCCCTAAAGAACATGCCCACTGCGACAAATCCGTTGTTAAAGTTTGCAAATATTAAATCTTGATCAGAGGATGAGGTTTGTGGTCAAACAGTGTCACAATGCCTGTTTAGCATGTTAACGGATCATCCAAGTTATGTTCGGAAGGTGCCATCAATACCAAAGTTGGAGCCACCGCCCTTCAGGGCACGATAAAAATCAGGATCCTCCTTCGCGTTGGTGTTGATGAGGGTGCCATAGGCTAGTAGAAACTGCAGGGATGAATTGCTGTCAATATCTAGTCCTCAACAAAGACAAAGACTGTAGGAATTTTACCTCAGAATTCTTCACGTCATTAGCACCAAATCCATGGAGTAAGGGCAAAGCTTCCATGCCTCATTTGTGCATTAGTTAGTAACTTTGACTATTCAATTCAAAAACAAGCCCTTCTGCTCCCTTCGCCCCATTTATGCATCCCACAAAGCATCAAACATGTAGGCTGCACGAGGAGGATACAAATCTCCCAAAGGAAATCCGCCGATATCCAATCATACTGCTGATGTTGCAGTTGGTATATTCAAGCACAGCTGATTATTGGTAACGGGCATCAATATCCATGGTTGGAACCTTCCATGTTAGGCCGCGCTGACGCCGGTATAAATGTACATCAGATGCGCCTTACTAGTGGGATCGCTTAACACTTCTGGATGGGAATTCAGTCCGCGACACAAAGCTGTATTATAATTGGGTGTCTGGCTATTCTGAATTTTATTGCAGGTGCCAGTACACGGGAATAGACTTTCGACGCCAATTTGACGTACGGAAAACAAATTGCGATAGTACTTTCAACTGGTGGTCTGAGCACCATCGTCGCACTTTGGTGCTTGGGTTTTAAAACACATCTTAGGTTGATCGATGAGAGTTTGAACCGTTGTCCATGTCGCCCATTATTCATATACCTATGAGACCAAAAGGTCGGCGTAGTAATGTGTCTTGACATCTTATATGCGATCCTAGAACGTGACAGTGACTCACCCAGGAGCATTGTATAGTGTCTGCCATCGTAAGTTACTGCGCATAGAAAGCCGAATCTGACAGCCTAAGACGTTTTTCTATGGCCTTGGGCATTAGTATGCTAAAGGTGGTTAATTAATGCTTGAATAAAAAGGAATTCATTCCTAAACGGGCAAGTATATAATCCCCCGTCTTTGTGCCCAAGCACGTGTTTTACTATATGCTTAACTCGGGTAGTTAACTTCTACACGCAGTATATACTGGACCGCTGAAACCAGTGGCTTGATACATGCCGGTTCTTTTCACTCTTAACCCCAAGCTCCCCATTAAGGCCCTGCATCACCTTCCTAGGTACCATTCAGATCCTCCCATCCCCCTCAAACGCCGTGCCGACTATCTGTTAAGGAAACATGGTCGTCCAGTTCTGCGACGATTGTGGTAACCTTCTGGATGAATCATCCGATGACACTCTTAGATGTGGGATATGTGGAAAGACCGCGAAGAGTATACCCCCTCCATCCCCTCTCTAGGTACAACAAGGCTGACCAAATGCATTAGACATGGCAATACACCATGCGCAGGTATCCACATCGGAGAACTTCCCTTCCAGGCTCAGGAACAGACTGAAATCGAATACGCAAGAGGTGACTTATAAAACTATTGGAAAGGGTCCCTCTATTGATATGGCATGTGCCAAATGTCCTTCTAGGGAGGTGACCTATGCCCAGGTTCAGTTGCGGGGTGCAGACGAGGGAAGTACTATCTTCTATACCTGTGCTAGATGTGGACATAGGTAAGTAGGGGTCTCTCGTGAATGGGGAATGCTAGCTAATTCCGGTCCACCAGATGGCAGGAGGATAATTGAGGCGACATTGGGAACACTTCTTCTGCCCGAGGATCAGAAGGCCATTTCATCGTCGGCTCACGACTTTGATTTCACGAGGATTTTACGAATGGCGTGGGACCTATGCTTTGTCCAAGCCAACCTCTGCATGGAGGTTTTACAGTCAGATCTAATATGGCACGAGACATTGATATCATTTCCAGATAACCGTACATTGCAAAATCAAATAAACAGTCCTTTACATATAACATGCCCAAACAAGCAAACCAACTCATCTCACGTTCAAAACCATAATCAGCAGCATCAGCATCAAGCCAAAATCTCCTTCTCATTCTCCTTCAAGAATGCATCGACAGAAGTAAGTCCCTCCGCCAACGCTCCCAACTGCTCACGACAGTTACTCACTCCATCCCCACCGGGCACCTCATCCGCCCATCTCGACGAAGCAGCACCAAGATGTCCCTCCTTGATCATCCCATCCACGACCTCATCATCCAAAAACTCCACCTTCACCTCTTCACCCACCACCTTCCCAATCTTCTCTGCCAGCTGCTCCACCGTCACCACCTCGACCGCCACATCAACAGCCTTGTTCGCAAACCTTTCAGGCTCCTTAACCGCCGCCGCAACCACAATCCCCACATCCCGAGCATCCACCAACGGCAGCTCCGTGCCGGGCCGATATGCCACGCGCAGGACCCGCTCTTCCTTAAACGCAGGGAACATAAAGTCCCGCACAGGCGGCAGGAGGTTCTGAAGGAAGTGGCCCGGTCGGACAATTGTCCAGCGCCCGCCCTCCTTAGCTTCCGCTACTTCACGAACACGATTCTCCAAGGCATGCTTGTTCAACCAGTACGCTTTCATCGGATGAGCACCGCTTTCCCATCCGGGGAATGACTCGTGCTGGCCTGTCTTCAGCGCCGTACCAAGAATGATATGCGAGAGAGTGGACGACTCCTTCGCAGCGAGAATGATGTTCTCCATGCGCTGGAAATCAGCCTCGGGTTTGCCGGTTTGCACTTCGGTGAAGAACACGGCGTCCACGTTTTGTGTCGCATTGCGAAGAGATTCCAGATCATCGAGGTCGCCTGTGACGAGAGTCGCACCTTGTTCGGCGAGTTGGACTGCGGCGCTGCTGGCTGGGTTGCGCACGAAAGCGGAGACAGAGTGGCCCGCGGATAGGGAGTGCTGGACGACGCCGCGGCCTTGGTTGCCGGTGGCGCCGATGACGAGGATGGTTTTGGGGGACATTGTGAGGGGTTGGTTTGTGGTATTGTAGATTGAGATGTGAATTGTGTTTGATAGGAATGGGGTTGGCAATGGGGTGGTGGAGAGAGAACATTTATAGTCGTTGTGCTGCCTAAGCTGTTTGTTAGTGCTTACTGCGTGTATAGTAATTCTTAGATCTTACGGACTGGTGAAGGATCTCTCACCGTAGTAAGTTATTGTGTACAAGGCTGTACGTATGTGGGTAGGTAAGCTTAGATGTTTCAGAACGATTAGCTTATGTAGTATATTCTAGATTACTACTGCTGTACCTAAGACACTGGACACAGGTAGCGGGTATCCTAACGCCTCGCGGATATTGTCCTCAACACAAGCACCACAATCACTAGCGAGTTCTAACAATCCACCTTCAATCTCTAGTATCGTCCTTCAATTCCGACATTTATCGCCCTTGGTTTGGTTACGAAATCTATTCGTCGCAATCATCTCAAACTAATCACCATTGGCATAACAATAGACAAAACATCAGCAGCACATCAAACAAGGCCAGCCCGCTGCGTACTAAGCTGACAGCGCCATCTGCTCCAGAGTCTGATACAGAGGCGTCCCCAGCCCAGTAACCGGGTCCCAACCCTTGGTGGCATTCCAGCTAGCATACGGGATAAGAGCTCCTCCATTTGACCCCTCACAACCCACTGATCCGCCGTCTACAATATCCGTGAATCCCTTCTGATCGAGCGAATAGAGCCACGGGTTCAGGAACCCTAGGGTGGGTCTACCCTGCTTGAGACGTGCGGCGTTTAGTCGAGAGATGACCGCTGCGAAGACGGGCGCGGCGGCACTATAATATTATTAGCTCGTTCGATTCTAATTGTCCATTTATGTGTCAGTGATGGTTAACTGACCTCGTTCCCGCAGTCTGTAACCATTGTCCATGATCCCTGATAACATAGTTGCTAGCTTGAGCCGACACATCAGGAATGCCCCGTCCGTCTCGGTTATACAATCCATCCCATTTGTCACCCAGACGCGCAAGATACGCTTCCACGCTAGCGTTCTGGTACGACGGACGAGCAAAGCGCTCGGAGAACCCACCTCCCGAGAAGTCCACAGCCTTTTCCGGCTCGACGCCCTCCGTCCCACCCACGGATGTCACGAACGGACAGGAAGCCGGGAAAATAGGTTGGAAGCGGGTCCTCTGACTTCCATCGTTGGATACACAACCCCCTCCGACGCCCGAGTCTCCGCTACTGAAGATCACCGAGACCCCGCGCGCACCTAACTGGGCGAACAAATTGCACGTGGCTTCCGTGTATTCCTCCGGAAGGCTTTGCTCCTCCTCGCCGTAAGACGTGCTAAGTACTGCAGGGAGATCCTCATCCGGAAGACCCACCAGATAGTGGAGCTGTTCGAGATACGGCTCGTTGGTCGACCCGTCGGTACTCACCGTACCCGTGTCCGAGACGGACGGGGCACGTCCGGCCGTGGTGTAGAAGGTCGCGTTAGCGTTGAATGCCATGGAGAGGGCGTATTGGATGTCGAGGCTGGCTTCGGTGCTTCCTTCTTGGGAGTTTTGGGGGTTTTGGCCTTCGTTGATGGAAACTACAGAGAAGTCGGCGTCTATGCTGTCTGGAGAGTATACTTCTAGGAACTCGTCGAGGTCGCTGTAGCGTGCGTATTGGTCGAGGTAGCCGGATATACCGAGGACGTTTCGCGAGTCGGGAGTCGCTTTGGTGCTTGGTAGGCCGTACAGCTGGCGGAGGCAAGCTGGCGTTACGCCTGTTAAGCAGTCTTCGCTTATTTCGTCGATATTGATTGACACCGGCATGAGGCTCGGTAGGCTGGTTTGCGTCTTGGGTTGCCCGAAGCGTGTCGTTGGCTGGATCATTTGGAGAAAGGGATCGACTTCCTCCGGGACTGAGTACTGGAGCGTCCTGATCTGGGTTGTGTTTGTCTCCAGGTGGTGGAAGTTGTAGAAATCTGTCTTCATCATTGTCTGTGCTTGGGCCAACGGGACCGTGAAGGCGACCCAGTCCCCGCGATCTTCGATAGCATCCAATGGAACATGCTCGGACTCAAGCCAGGAGAAGATGGTCTTTGAAACCTGGTCGGATGGGCGCATAAAGGCTCTCACATCGTCGCGTTTCATATGCCGTCCATAGTCTCGGTGACCGGGTGTCGAGATATCGATGACTTTCTGCTCGAATTCCGCCTTGTAGTCGTGATGCATCGATAGCCAGAACTTCATCGAAGTGGATGGCGAGGGAGCTGCGCCTTTCGTCCATCCGTCGGGGATGCTGCTCAGTTGGTCTACCACGACATAATCAGGCGCTGTAGCTATACCCGTGTGCAGAAGGGACAGAAGCCCCATGAGATATTTGAGATACGTCATGGCCGCTCGAATGTCGCATTAGATTCAAGTACTGATACTTGCGCTGTCTCAGGCGAGGCTGTCTCAAACCGTTACCCACCTGCGGAGTAATTCACCGCAGAAACTGTCTCTTCCACTCCAGAAGGATGTCGTGCTGTGGTCGCCCTTAGCTCCCTCCCTCGATATAAACCAAGGAAACCGACAGTTGTTGTGCAGAACACCCCTCTTCTCACCCACGATACTTTTTAGAAATGTCGGGTATGCCAATAAGGCGGGGTATTGTTACCAGTTTCCATCGGTGTGGTTGGAAGAGACGCGTTAAAGTTATCGAGCAATCCAGAGGACATGGAGAATGTGACAGCGTGTTTACCAACAGAAAGAGCATGTAACTCCCGCAGATCCACGGACACTAGACGCCATGGTTGAGAAGAGCTTCAAGAATTGCCAAACTATAACCATGAATCAGTATGTCTACGATGTGCGTATTGAGTGTCTTTTTAGCGAAATCGAGGTATGATAGTGGTTCGAAGCTTCTGCGTCCTTGGCAGCAGCGCGACTCGCTTAAAGGGCGGTCCGGTCGGGATGGAGTCTATTCAGGGCTCAATGCGCGGGTATTTATTGACTCCCTTATTTAGCAAAGGGGCGTTGGGAATGCGCCAATCAAGGAGTGCGGGAGGCTGCAGCTTGTTTTCCATGGGAGATAATCTTGTGGTTCTCTAGCTGAATGGAACGAAGGAATTAGTGCAATTGACAACTTCCTCCAGTGCAGTGTAGATACCCTGCCAGCCCGAGTACGTCATAACAATTGATCATGTATTAAAGAGCTCATGGTCATATGCTGCTTGCTTGATTCACAAGGACAAAGGACTGGGAACATTCAGCAGATACTAGGTTGCTCATACTCTGATTTGTCTTTTGTAATGCTGACTGTCTATCACTGGTAGACACGTCCTAGCTGACACCTCATGAACTCGACAACTGTAGTATGTGGACAAACACAGCCAGCGGTGCGGATCCCAGTATTCGAAATTCGAAATTCTTTCAAGGAGCATAGTAGTTATAGATGTTCAATGTGATGTTTGATCGGCTCTCTTACAAGATTTTTAGACATTTGGGACAGAAAGGGATAGATACATGATTGCTGTATGATTATAAACTAGATGCAAAAATAATGTATAAGTTATTCAAAGAAAAAATATACAATGCGATCTAAGAGTGCTATTTCCTGTTGTATCACTTTTCTATTAGGTCTATCCAGTTCTAGCCTGAAACTTCTTGTCATCTTTATTGAATTGAGAGTTTCTTAGTCCCTGCTGTAGTGCGTCTTCTCTATCCAATGTACTCCGCATTTTCCATGAAGACGACATCAGACCGAAGCTCTTCTATATCCTCATCCCGTAGAGATATCGCAACTACGACATCGCCTTCACGCGTCTTGGGCAATAGAAAGGTCAACCCCTCTACCTCATTGCATCTCAGCTTTCGTACAGCTTCGGGCAATCCCAAGCCAAGGTTAAAGTCGAAGGAACAGCCCCCCAGTTTCGCCCACGAACTGAAAATGAGGTCCGTTGTTGTATCGATCCCCGCGCCAAAGGAGAATTTACTCTTGTCAGGCGTACGGCTCAGGAAGGTTGCAGTGGCACGTGTGTGGTGTTCCAAGTGCGATTTGTCGCTTAGGGCTAACCGAAGCTGCTGCGCAATGCTACCCAATGGCTCCTCAATGAGCCTTCTCATAGGGAACTCGTTATATACATTGCTTTGTATCGGGCCTGGGTAGAGAGAAGAAATACCGAGTACGCCCCGTACATCCACGGCGCGCATTAGGGTCGAGTGAGTGGATGGATCCAACCGCCGCAGACGAGCCCGAGTAACAGATTGCCAGATGAAGGCTGTGAGAGCATCGTCGGTGGAGACGAAGGATGGCGGTGTGAGGGATGCCATAGCAATTGTTTTTAATGCTTCCTGTGAGTGACGAGAGATCTTGAAAGATGTCCATGAGCTTTTGGGCATCGGAGTCTCTGGCGAGTCGGGTGGGTGTCTGTATGGAGCGGGTTTGACCATGTAACGATCGAGCTCGGTTCCTATCGTATGGCTGTCTTCGAGCAATGGAACTATATCTCGGCGTGGGATATTGCCGTCCCGGAGCTCCTTGTCTGTAAAGTCTTCGTTTTGACAGGCCTTAGAAAACAGATAGATGATATTAGTTAGGCCCGTCGCATCCATAGCATTGTGTTGAGCGACGAAGGTGAGAAGAAGGCCTCCCGTTATAAAATTCGCTTGAATGAGGAAGACAGGCGCCGATTCATCTTGGTTGTCTGGAAAAATATTTCGAGGCGCTAGGATGTTTTGGTCAAGCATGCGGATGGGGAATTTGGCACGCTGTAAGTCGTTCATTGTCGCGATTGAAGGGTCATGCTGTAGATCTCTCACTATCAGCTGGGCTTCGTTTTGCAGCGGCCTGATCAAGAAGGAACCCGTATCACCATCTCCCGAGCCCTCATTGACAACCTGACCTGCTAACCACGGAAAGCTTGTATTGAGTCTCTCAAGACCTTTGGTAAGCGTGTCGATGATTTTGGGGCATGCGGAGTTGTCTGGGAGGGGAAAGCAGAAACATGATTGAATATTGATAGTGAAGGTCTGTTGACCGAAGATGTCGAGGTAATCGTTCATACTGCTTGAGAATATAGAATGGGAAGTTAACTTAAGAGATGATGGATATATACATCTAGTGGATATATAAATTTCTCAATATGCAGTGGTTGTATAAATCATCATGATTCATAATGAGTTGACAGCAGACTAGTCCTGATCGGGTCGCCGACCGAACTTATATGTTAATGCATCCAAGAAACGCCCCGCTGAATATCGGCGCATGTAAAGAACTCAACGCATAATTAATACTGCTTTTCTAATGGGCTGGTTGAGTGGATTTGCTCGACAGGGGTACGTGATTCGAAGTCGAGACGTTGTGCGGCGTCACAGTCGGACACACCCGTCAAGAGCTACTACTTAGTAAGAGATCGGTGTCTTCCCTTGTATCGTGTCTGATACTGTTATGCGAAAGGGAGTATTCACCTACAACTATCGCCTAGGATGTGCCCTCAACATCAACATTGTTACATTTGTCTGCGTGGTCACCTCAGGGGCATTGCTCCACCTGACCCTTGGCGGAAATATATATCATTATTCAGGACCATCTGGAAAAGCCCGACAGATTGTATTTCTTGCGATCTGTTCCAAACCAAGACAACCTCCTAAGTATCCTACAAATTCATGAACCGGGCGAGGGCTCCCCCATACCGATCACCATGAACAGGGATCTCCTTTAGAATGGCAGCAATCTCCTTCACCTCGGACTCCGACAACTCCACATCAGCCAGGTTCTCCTCCACCCTCTCGACCGTAGTGCATCCAGGAATAGGAATAACCACCGGATTGCCAGGTAGCCCATTCTGGGCCCTCACCCAGGCAATAGCAGTCTGTGCTAGCGTCACATTCTTCTTCTTAGCAATCTGCTCCAACTGCTCCACCAACTTCAGATTGAGATGGAATACATCCGGCTGGAATCGAGGATAGTTGCGCCGAGAGTCATTGGCAGGCAGATCATCCAACGAGCGTAGTTGTCCTGTCAACCATCCTCTAGACAGCGGGGAGTATGCTACCAGCGGAACATTCAATTCCTTACAGGCAGCAGCAACTCCATTCTCCAATGGATCTGTAGAGAACAGAGACAACTCAACTTCCACAGCAGCTAGAGGATGTACAGCATGAGCGCGACGCACTGTCTGCTCACTGCATTCACTGATACCGATGCCGCCGATCTTCCCTGCCTTAACGTAGTCGGCTATCACGCCGATGGTGGTTTCAATGGGAGTGTTGGGGTCGACTCGCGCGGGCTCAAAGATACTGATAAATACTTTGCCGTTGAGGAGTTTCAAGCAGTTATCAATGCTGGCGCGGATGCCTTCGGGGGTGCCGTCGGGACCTTTGGCGCCTAGACCGCCCTTGACGCTGAGGACTACTTTGCTGCTATCTTCGGGATATTTGGTGAAGTAGTAGTCTAGTAGTTGCAGGGAGTTGGCATGTGGAGGGCCGTAGAATTCTCCGGCATTCCAGAAATTGGCCCCGAGGTCCAGAGCGCGCTTCATGACTTTGACGGCCTCGTCATATGGAGTGGGGTTGGCGCGCCAGGTAAGGCCTGTTGGTCAGCTTAGAAGGGCTGTTCTAGGAGATGGGATGGGAGGGGGATATGGACGTACCCATGAGACCAAACCCGATCGGGCCGATGGTTTTATTGACGAGAGTGACAGTCATGTTGGAAATGTAAAACAACTAAGAGATAAGTTAAGGAAAACGGGTACTGGTGGTGGTAAATTGATATTTCGGGGGAGCGTGTGATGATATCGAGATGAAGACAAAGAAGAGAAGTAAAACGTCAGATGAGGACGAGAGAAGACCAGCGGGGGGTAGTAATACTTAATTAATCCCGCCATTACTGTTTGGAAGGAGGGGTAAATCCAACACTCCATTAACATCAGCAAAATGCCCTCAATCACATCGGATATACGCATTAATGTCCGCCAAACTCCGTGAGAATCCCTGTCACGGACTTGCCTCTCTGAGAGCTCCCCGACCGATCAGAATGCAGCCCTGAGAGACCTAATAGAAATCAAGGTATGTTGGAGGAACCCTCGATCATCTACAGCCCCTCCACGGCCCAGACGCAGATCATCTGATAGCAAATACCTAACACATGCTTAGTGCTTACTTCTCCTTGAGACACAATTTTGGGATACAAATACTCGTACAGTGGCTTTGAATTGCGCTGACGTTTACTGAAGATCCCTCTTCTCTAAGGATCTTCATCTTTTCTTGGCCCAGTTCCTCGATTATACTGACGTTGAAGAGGCCAAGGAATTTAATAGATCCGCGCAAGCGTTTTAGTTTGTTTTACCTGCGCTTAGATGATAGTGCGGTCGGGACCCAGTCCCTGCAGATCACGAAGCAGATCCCCCAACTGCGGACGCAGCTTTTCGTACCATTGCCCATGAAGAAAAGCCAAAAGTACAACATTCAGGACCAGGGTCTCGTTCTTCGGGCACAGCCCCCCAAAGAGCGACGGTGATCGACCAGAATAATGCACGAAATTTAATGAACGTGAGAAATGTGTGTTGCAAAGTCCTGAACGCACCAAGCAGGAGAGAGCAACTCCAACTACAAAGGATGCAACTAGCAAAAATCAATATGATGCAACCGCTCTGCCAGATCTCATTCCTTTCTGGTACCAGACAGCCTTTTGCTCATCGAAACCTAAGTCCGTAGCTACTATGATGTGTCTCTAACCATCATCCAATGGATAATGAACACTAACTTCATCTCCTTCTAATAATACTGATTCACTGCACCCTTTGGAGTGCCTAGCAGGCGATCGTGCCTGCTTTTTCCCTAAGCTTCCCCTGTAGTCCGACTCCTATTACTTATCGGTGACCTCCACTGTCATGACATAATGAGGTAATCAATTGAGTAGGTACTGGGTGGATATACTAATCCTGAATTGGTAGTATAGACTCATAGAAGCAGCATACCGAGACCTTAATATCCAAATGACAGCAAAGTAGCCATTTTCATTGACAAATCTCAGAACAACCAAACAACCATACCTCAACCTATCTACACCTGCCTTCCTCCCTCCTTTCCTCTATCCTGATTTAACCTAACCCAACCTTCCTAATTATACGTGATATCAATGCCTCACCGGCAACCCATTGTTATAAACAAACAACCCCTTGGGATCCCACTTCTTCTTCAACTCCAACAATCGTGGCAGCTTCTCAGCCCCATACCACGCATTCAAGCCCTCCGTGCCATGAGCATAGCTCACATACACCTGAAGCCGATCGAATCCACTGGTCGCATTGAATCTTGTGATCCAACGACTAGCCAGGTCGTTCACCGGCTGTGACAAGGAGGCGTCATCGTAGGCGAATGTGAGCATCCTAAATATCCCCCTCATATTAGTTAATCCTTGCCAACTGAACGAATAGAAGCATTGATGTAAGCCACTTACACATGCGCTGTGATATCCCGATAAGGATACGCTGTTTCTTCATCCTTCACGGCACGCACTGCCTGTGTGGAGAAGAATTCAATCTCGTAGCTGGACCCCGTTGCTTCCGGGTATGCGTAGTAGAAGTCAACCATGGTGTTGAAAAAAGCAATGTGAGTGGGTACATCAATGCGCGCCACTCCCAGCGCCCAAAGATTGTGCATGTCGCCGTCGATGCAGAAGTCCGCGTCCATACCGAAGAGCGCCGATGTATCGAGTACGTTCCATGTCAGCTGGGTGATGTTGCGCTTGTGGTAGGGAAGGTCGAGGAATGGTTGGAGATGAGCGAGACCTTCGGATTTAGGGCCGGCGTAGGCTGCATTGAGGATGATAGAGGGCTAAGTTCGGACAGTCAGTCATGTGTCTAAGTCACTGCGAGTGATCAGATGAATAGAGCACATACACCATAGGTAGTATCGTTGATGACCAGAGTAAACAGAGAAAGTGGCTGTGGGAGAGTGCCGTTAAATGAGGCAAGGATTTCAAAGAACGAGCCATTAGCACTGGCCGGAAATAGGAAGTCGGCATTCAAGACGGAACCATTGTTGGTCAGGTCGTAGATGGTGTATGTCGCCTCGGTAACAATCCCGAAATTGAAACCCGCACCGCGCATGCCCCAGAAGAGTTCGGGCTCCTTGGTCTTCGACACGGTGATGAGACTGCCATTGCTGGTTACCAGTTGCACGGACTCGAGCGCGTCGATAATCAGGCCGTGGATGCCTTGGTAGCGACCCACACCGGCGCCCAGTGTGGCTCCTACCATTCCCACACAGGATCCAGATCCAGTTTCTGGTTTATATCTGGTTATTTACCGTCTTGAATTCCTTAGAAAGCCGATGAACTTACGGATCTCCTTTCCAGCGCTGTAGAGCGGCTCGAAAATATCACGGAACCGCACACCACCTCCTATGGTCATTAGGTTGGCGTCCGCATCCACGGCTACCTGATTGAAGCCGCTAAGGTCAATCTCGAGGCCGTATTGCAGCTCAGCGAACGTTGTCGTGTAGCCGTGTCCTCCACCCATGGCGAGGAAGGGGATATTGTGCGTCGAGGCATATTTGACCTTCCTACCATCAGTACTGGAGAATGGAAAGAGAACAGGAAGATTTGAGTTTCAACTTACAATCCTTTGCACATCAAGAGTCGTGTTCGGCTTGATGGAGGCGAAAAAAGTCGGTTCCTCATATGTTGTCCACCGCTGGGTAGTGTCGGTCCAGTTTGTCGCGTAAGGATAAAACACCTCAGCTGCTGGGGAGAGCTGTGATAGCAGCGCGGTAATATTTGAGGCTGTCGCAATCTGCGCGAGCCCGATCAGGGCCGTAGCGTAATGCTTCAAGGAGACCATGGCCTGTGTGTTTGCAGTAGAGGCAGAATAATGTGTTAAGGCAGTTAGTGTCCCAAAAACACTTGGAGTGGTAATGAGGGTGCATTCTGATGAACGCTGGCTGCTGTCTTTTATATTTTGAGAGTCAACGCAGTGCGTAAACGTAAGATGATGGCTTGAACCCACGATAGATCTGACATCGTATCGGACATCTCTCAACTCAGGTAGCCTCGCAAAAACAATAATATCCGCTGACGAGCAGCCGGGAGGCGAAGGATTCAACTACTATCCTGAAATCTAGATATGGAAATATTAGTGGACTCGCTAACGATGGTGCCTATTGGCAGGTCGTCTGTTCCTTAGAATGGCTTCCTTCATCCGCCGTGGGTGATGATAAGCTTTGAAAAGAATTTTAAGCATTTCTGGCCAATACTTAGTTCCTTGGTGAAAGCGTCCATTGCGCCGTGTCGCCTAGAACCTGCAGAGGTTCGTCAGTCCGTTACGATATCTTGAGAGTTGCGGCTAACTTTAGTGAAAAGCATCCAGCGCTTTTCTGGACTCGACAGGGGTATTCGAAAAGAGATCTGAAACACGTGGTATTCAATCTTAATCATCGTTTGGACCTTGGGTGCGCCTGAGTCAAGCCTTCAGTTGGGTGGAATCAGTCCCACTTCGACCTCTGCCAAAATCTCATGTCAGATTACAGTCCCTCTATCAGCAGGGTTGTGGATCCTAGATCACTTAGCTACTAATGCTGACGACGATGATTCTCGGACTGACCCAGATTGGTAACGCCGAGAGCGTTCGGGCCCATTTCTGGTCTCATTGACCTCGTTGGGTGTTCCTTTTCCACTCTTGGCAAGTTTGATGTATTTTTAACGGGGATTGTGATAGAACGATTTTGCGTCCATCCCCACTTACTCCTTCAATAAATCTTTGTACTAAGTTCCAGCGTCTCATTTTCATCCATAAGAGCGATTCACTATCGATAAAGCCACGTGCCGTGTACAAATATATGTAAGATAATTCTATAGATTCGAAACGTGAGGAACTACTCTAATATAGACCAAGTATGTACCCGACAGTGTTTGGAGAGCGGATCCTAATAACAATACAATTGGCGTATAGACAGGCTCTTTGAATTTACCAGATTAGTGTTCCAGAAAGAAGCTGGAGCCTACCGTCTCATGTCAGGTTCCATACACATTCGGACCAAACGCTCAGGATTGACCTTCATATTACGATTCCGGTCGCCAACACCACAATCCTGGAGAAGGCAACGGCTATCGCAATGCCCGGAGCGTATTGCTACACCTCTGAATGTGCTCCACAACACACCAAAAGCAGTGGTGCGTAAGCGAGGAGCATTCCTGAAGGATGGCCATGTTTTTCGCGGCAGCTCATGGGTGCTTTATGGCAGCGCTGATTGCTCACACGGCACGGGAAGACCTCCAGTCCAGGGGTGCAATCCTTCAATCATTCCTTTTACGGAATACATGTTGAATACTCGAGGCTGTCCAGGGCTGGGAGATGGGTGTCTTGCGGTAAAGACTGTAAGATAGGAATCGCTGACGAGCCTTCTCTACAGCAACCCTCATCAGAAGAACCGGTCCTGTGCTCGGGATTGTGTAAGGTGAAGATTTCTCTTTCTTTTTCTGCATTTCCCTTTCTCTGGCTGTCACGGTCACGGTCCTGGGCTTTGCGAGGTATTCGGAGAGGAACTTGGTGGCTTAGCCTCGGGCAACGGATCATTTCGCTTATTGCTTGCCAACCAGCCAGCTACATGCATCACAACCATCTCCCGCCGTAGCTGCTGTCTCTACAGGCCCCGTCCGGGGTTGTAAGACATACCCCATCCAGGGTCCTCACTCTGGGGCGCAGTGAATACGATGTGGCATTGCCCATGATCCTTCTTCCCGAATCTGGACAAATTCGATGTTATGTTGCCACGGACCACGCGTTGGAGCGATCTGCCGGTGGAGCAGTGGATCACCCCGCGCGCTAATCCAGATCGCTTCACCACCGAGCTGGCGGATTTCTTCACAAGGACGCCGTACAGTGCGACCGGGATGGCGCAGTGGCATTTGGTATTGGCAGGCGAATAACGGGGCGTCTCCGGTACTGGTTCTCACTGATCAGAGGTATCAGAGTGGCTCGCAGCCTGATATCTGATTGCGATCCTGCATTTAACCATCCCTCACCAAGCCCTTATCATCGGGTGGTCCTTGTTAGCTCGGGCAGTGGGCCTGTGCAGTACGGATCATCCGTCAAATAGTAGATGTTTGGTTTGGAATGGCCGGTAGGATGGCGATTTAGGTAGCCAGAGGCCTCCCAAATTTCTGAGCTGTGGATCTGACACAATAAAGACCCAACTACCAAGATGTAAGCACCTCGCTAGCAACCCCCGAAAGGGAAGCTGAAGGATGACGCTCACAGGGGCGGAAAGACAGCGGATGTACTTTTTATCCTCAGATAAATAAGCACTAAAGAATCATTGGCAGGGGAGCGGGCTGCAAGACGAGGCTCTGACAAGCACTTATGCAAAGATTCATGCAACACAATTTAGTCAGATAACCATTCCCAAGGTAATTGGACTCTGACCATCCAGCAATTACTCTATTCAGTTATTAAAGCATTCCATAAATGGTTCTAGCTCTCGTCCGTGCTGAGTGTGTATTCGAGTGGATGGAGTCTTTGGATCCTCGTCCCCCGCTTTCCTTTCCCTCCGTCTAATCTGTTGCCGTTCGTGGTAGTGATCGGCCCTGAGTATACATGGGGTCCGAGGCTATTATGCATGGAAGCAAACTGCACGGATACATTTTCCCGTCATGACATGATTATATCCTGGGTAAACTAATAGAATGAGGGGTATCGCCCACAGCCCTTCATCGTCTTGCACTTCCCCCACAATATCTCTCCAACTATCTCAATGTTCGGGACGCTATCACAGAACCATTCTACCCAGGCTTCCTACATTGTCCAGGTCACCGATCCTCCCTTTCAGACAGACCGCAATGCAAGAACCCCTCACTTGGCCTGCATGGCCTGTCGAACCAAAAAGGTGAGCCCTCAGCCTACGCCACTGCAGCGTCCTCGGTTAACAGAAGCCCTCCAGCTCAAGTGCTCGGGGGAAAAGACGGGCTGTCAACGGTGTCAGATGAAGAATCTGTCCTGTGTCTTCCCAGATCAATCTGCCTCTCGCTCGGCCAGGAAGCAACGCAGCAAGCGTTCCCAGTCCGCTGTGTCAGATACCTCCCATCACCCGACGAACAGCAGCGCCAGCGGCAGACAAGGGTCCCCAGAACCACGTAACCAGGAGGTACAAGGGCCCAGTCACATACATGTGGGCGAAGAAGAGATGGACGGGGATGTATTTCTTGACCTTCCCGATTTCTATGATACGGGCTTGTCCTCTACGCCAGACGCAGAGGATATATCCCGGTTAGAGGCTCCCCTGGGTCTGAACACTGGTCTACCAACCGGCTCTCTATCAACCAGCCTGGAAGACGCTCTTAGCCACGGATCTCTACTAGACATCAGTCAAGGCAAGTCATTAAACTTAACCCCATCATTTTCTCCCTGCGATCCGTCCATACTGACTGAAGGGTGGAGACCGGCACAAGCCCAACTATCCCGGACTGCCAGCCTGCATTGACCTCGACACCGATATTCTTCCTGTATTCTCAAACCCAGGAGTAGAACGCGCCTCCACCTCCCCTTCCAACCAGTGTCACTGCCCCAGCCAAGCCCTTGCTCTGTATGAGCGCACTCAAATTCTCTACAACCGACTTGACGCAACACCTCGCTCGACGATAAATAGCCATGACACCCGGGATACACTCCATCGAAGCAAGGAGATAATCTATCAATGTGAAAATCTAACAGAATGCGCCCTGTGCCGGACACAGTCTCACATCGCTATGATTCTCCTCTCCGTCAGCCACCAGTTGATTATCTGTCTCAAGCGCCAGTGCGCCACCACAAACCATCACAGGCTGACGGACTGGCATCCTAATGACGCTTACCCAGGCCAGGGAACGGGTTTCACTCACCGTAGTAGCCTAGAATCCGCGACACAGAGGCCGCCGATGACTTTCCATCACAGCTTGGAATCAGAGGACTTGGAAGACGAGATCCAGGTGCTCAAGACATTGCTAACGTTAAGAATGCAAGCTACTGCTAAGCTTCTGGCAAAATTACAAAACATCATTGACGTTGGGGGGTGGCGCGAGCATCGTGAGTTGCTGGACAGGGTGTCGGCGCTGCATCAGGCCGCCGCGGTCAGTATTCATCGAATGGGGGGAAGGGAGAGATGAGGCATCTGCGTATCTAAAGAAGTGGATGTTCCCGAGAGCTTACACCTCACCCTGCTTGCCACCTCAGGGACAAGCCACAAGAGTCACCTCATACTTTACAATAAACTTCATAAATATTTACCCTTTACTAAGGATCGTCCACAAGTACTGTAGTGAGCATCATCAAATCAGAGCCCTAAAAACAAATATACGTCGACTTCGCGTTGCAATACTGCAACAACCCAGCCTGTCCGAATTCCACCCCAATTCCACTCTCCTTATGTCCTCCAAACAAACCCTGAAAGCTCGGCTTCTGCGTACTGTTAATGTAGACACTACCCACATCCAACTGGGCGGCAATTCGACGAGCCCTCGCTATATCACTGGACCAGACACTTGCGCTCAGTCCAGTAGGGGTATCATTGGCCCAGTGGATGACTTCTGATTCCGAGCTCCATCGCAGAAGGGGGAGGATGGGGCCCTGTTCCATCGTTAGACATTTAATAATTCGGGAGAGAAGAGAGGGGACACTGACAAACTGCTCCTCACGGACAAGTCTCGACTCCCTAGGCGGATCATCCACCACCATCAAGGGAAGAAAATACCCTCCCTTCTTTCTGCCATCATCCACTCCCTCAAGGCCATGATTCTCCCCACCCGTCAAAACATCATACCCCAATTCCTTCACCTCATCAACCAAGCCCTTAACCTTCTCAAACTGCATCCGATTCTGCACCGGTCCAACCATAACCCCATCCTCAGCCGCACCATCACCGACCTTCATCTCCCCGACCTTCTTAACAATTGCATCTCTCACCACCCCATAAACATCCTCATGAATATAAACCCTCTTCGTAGCCACACACACCTGACCCGTATTCAAAAACGCACTGAGCACGATCTCCCCCGCGACATGCTCAATATTCTTCACATCAGGACACACAATACATGCATCATTCCCACCTAATTCCAACGTCACGCGTTTCAACGTCCCCGCACACGCAGCCATCACTTTCTTCCCCGTGCTCACAGACCCCGTTAAGGAGATTTTCCCAATCCCCGGGTGCTGCGTCATCAAGCTGCCTAAATTGTGCACCTCGTCGACACTGCTGCCAAGACATTGGATAACTCCCGGTGGGAAGAGCTGTTGGGCGATCTCACATATCTTGGGAAGCGTGTAGGGTGTGAAAGGGGAGGGTTTGAGAATTATGGTGTTTCCGGCTTGGATGGCGGGTCCAATTTTGTTCATGGGCATGGCAATTGGGACTAATCACATTCATATCATGTCAGTGGGATATTAAGTGGAGTGGAGGGGGCAAAGGGGGAAAATATACAATTCCAAGGACAAATAGCCCCCACCACACCGATCGGCTCAAAGGTCGTATGTACTACCTTGGAGATATTCTCGTCTAGCACGGTATGTTCGACGGGTTGAAGTGAAGAGAAATGCAGCAGAGTGTCTTGAGCTATCTGGATTTCTGCTTGCGCTAAGAACGTCTTCATGTGTGTTAGAATACGTTTGATATGGGTTCGGTATCATGCATACCGGCTTTCCTGTCTCAGCGATCAACAATTCCGTTAATGACGGCGCATTTTCAGCGATCAGGGCGGCTAGCTTCGTTAGGAGCTCGCTCCGGTGTTTCCAGGTGGTGCTTTTCCAGGTGAGGAAGGCGTCATTGGCTGCGATGACAGCTTCGTCGAGATCCGCTGAGCTGGCTACTGGGGCTTCATGAAGGGTGGTGCCTGTTGCTGGGTTGGTTGAGGTGTAGGTGGTGTTTGAGGTACGGAGGGTGCCATTGATGGTGTTATAGAAAGTAGTGAAGGTGGTCGAGTGAGACGAAGACATCTTGATTGTGTAGTACTATTGAGAAAAGGTACTTTATATTTTTGAGTTGTTGAAGGATATTACCATGCAGCGCTGCCGTCTATTGGTATATATATATTGTTTTTTCTATGGGACTGTACCCCGAGATCATCCCTCGGAGACCCTGAAAGGGAAAGAAGCGAATGGACATCCGCTAATTGAATCCTCCGAGGCCACGAACAGAAGCCCCGGACGATCGAATCGAAACAGACGTGTGCACCCTCCCTCTCTTTCGCTGATCTATGGGAAAATATCCAGTACCGCACATATTCGCGTCACTCTAACCACGGCATACTACGCTATCAAGTTTGTCTCGGCACGAATCGGACATTAATGTCCGGCTTCTGCCAGAGAATATAGTTCAACGACTCCCGTTCGAGGTCCACATCTTTATTGATCAGCTCGCAGTCGAACATGAAGTGGACTTTGGCCAGTACCAGCCGCAGTTCAATGAACGCCAGGCTATCCACTTGTCAGCACAGGTGAGAATGCCATAACATTAGGAGAGCACTCACTTTCGTCCCAAGCACACCCGCGGGCCCAACAGGAATGGGAAGAAGGCCGACTTATCGTCCATGTTAGGGTCTAGCCATCTTTCGGGATCGAATTTCGTAGGGTCGCTGAAATAACGCGCGTCGCGGTTCGTAGTCCATGCATGAACTGAAACCTCTGTCTGTTGAGAACGTCAGAAATGATTGATTTGCTGTTCACCCTAGCACCGACCTTCTTAGGGACATAGTGGCCATCTACATAGGCCCCGGGTGAAATCCTTGGTGGCCCAAAAGGCACCGGGGGGTAGAGTCTCATTGTTTCGTTGAGGACGGCGTGAAAGTAGGGCAGCTGGCCTACAGAACTGGATGTGATCTCACTATAGTCTTTGAACCGCGAGCGAATCTCGTCCCGCATTTTGGCGTAGACCTCTGGATGCTTAAGGATGAAATACGTAGCTGCCGATAACGTTGTCGCGGTGGTTTCACTTCCTGCGATACTGGTTCCGTCAGTCTCCTGGCCTGTGGCTGAATAGATAGTCAACACTCACACCAGATTCTGCCCTTGTGCTGCGACCTCTTCAGTCGAGATTACTCCCTGCCCAGCATTCTCCAGCATAGCAGAAAGAAAGTCAGTTCGCGAATCATCCTTGGGACGCGCTAGACGTCTGCCCGTGCATATGTGCGCTAATTAGCAATGGTCTCTCACAGAACGCAGTAAATACACATAATGAGGGCCTACCTTGCAGCCATTTCTCTTGTAACCTGCGTATGCCGATTCATGTCCTTGATCTTCTCAAAAGGCAAAAGTTCGAACACCTTCTTAAACCCCAATGCCATGCCAAACCGTCTCAAGACATCAATGATCGCCCCCGCCTGCATATTCCCTAGTATAACACTGATCCAGAACGCCGACGTCCCCTTCTCTGTAGCCCCAAATGACTCACCAAAGACCAGCTCCCCGATGATATCAAAAGTGAGGTAATTGAACCAATCCACGACGTTCATGCCCTGCGGACTGCTTCCGAACTTTTGAATCTGGTTGATCAGCAGATCCACATATCGCTGCTCAAGCTCCTCGTGCGCGATCAAGGCCTTAGCTGAGAACCCGAACGCCCAGAGTCTGCGCATCCGCGCGTGTTCGTTGATGTCCGATTCGCCAATGATATCGGAGGCTTCGAAATTGGCCACTTTGTAGAAAGTAGATTTGATGAATGTGCCGCTGCCAGTAGTGTTATAGATATCTTTCCAGGCTGATGCCGTGGCGAAAGACAGTTCGTTAGGAGCGATCCGGACTACGTCCCCTGTTCATTATTTCGCAATTAGCATCTGGTTTCCATACCTTCTCGGGATGTTGGCGGTGACAAGAAGTAAAACCAAACATACCATACTGACGATGCAGTTCCTCTAATTGGAGATGTATTTTCCCACTCATGGACATGCGACAGTAGAATACCTTTCTCCAAATCAGAATTTGCATCACTCAAGCGCAGAGCATGTACAACCCACCTGGCTTATTGCCGCCCATTTTGGTCCGGGAAACTTTGCCAATGGGTGCAACGTGAGAGAATACACAGCCCAAAGACAGGGGAGGGCAATGCCCTGATGGAGTTAGCCGTCAGATCATAACATTAGGCAATGCACTTACCAATAATGTTAGGAAAATAGCCCAATCTTTGAACGATCCCGGTAGCAGCGAGGCCAGGCCGGCTATGGTGCTGGCGACGTGTCCGTCTTCCATGCTGATCATCATTGCTACTACAATGTTATGTGAGGGTTATTTGCCTATCCTGTCATCGATCCTTGTCATATTATTGCTTTGGTCTAGAGGCTTTATCCCATTCCTCGGTAGCTCTCGCTCGGGCCATCCGAAATGGGGGAAACCGATGGGCGGATAAGCTGCAGCTGGGCTATACGTCGATCGCGGGCTACTCGTCATCAGCCATTAATAGATGGATTAAGAGCCCCCAGGATCCAAAGGTCCGGTTGTCCGAATCCGTCGGAGAATCACTCCCAACGTCAGCTCCAATTGTCCAGACCGGATAATCAGACCAGGGCTTATCAGCATATCCACCGTAGTAGCTCCCTGATCGACCGGCTAATCTGACTCATCGACCCGTTTATTATCCGAACAGGACAATAACGGTTATCGATGATAAAAGCTTCTGGAAATCCTTTGGCCAGGATTGAATCCTTTTGCGTTTGATGGATTCCGGGCGTTTCCACCATGACAATCCTCCCTTGCGCACCACTGCCTCTTCTGCTTATTCTCTCCGGCTGTTTCTTTCTTTGGCTCGGCCCGTTCGCTCTGGCTTACCACAAACAGATGGCAGGGTTCAAGATCCTTGCGCCTTCAGTCTGCTCCTCTCCTCTTTTAGGTAATTGCTTCACTCAATTTGTGGACCGGCCATTCGCCGCCACGGCGCTTAGAACGTGGACACATCGCATTAGCGCTGAGGTGAGAGCGAGGCGAGGTCCTCAGCGTGGCTTGTTGCGACAGCGGAGACACCTGTTCCTTCGTGCGGAGAAGATGGTGTTGGATTGCTGCTAAAGGATGCTTATGTACGGCATGCTGGAACTTGACGTTGGTGAGTGGTGAGAGGCCTCCAAAGTCCAGTATTCTGTACATTTCGCTGGCGATTTATATAGGGACGACAAAGAGAGTATCCGGACAGGTTCATTAGTTCGAATTTCAGGATGTTCGGGACATTAGTATCGACTCAATCGGAATCGGAGCCATTTATCTCCCATGTGATTAGACCACCGTTTGAGAGCGATCGCGAGTTGAAGCACTTGGCATGTTTGGCGTGTCGCACAAAGAAGGTATGACACTCCAGCAGCCAAGATACCATTAGAATAATGAGCAAACGATGTTACCATGCCCTATGAGTAAACAATTGACCTGCCAGTGTAGCTGAAATGCACCGGAGAGCGAACGGGATGTCAGCGGTGTCTTGATCGAGGACTTCCTTGCGAGTACCAAGAAGCTAACCCTCATCGAGGTCGACGTCCTCGAGGGGCCAGCTTGAATAACAACAAGAACAACGGAGAGGTCGAAGATTCGACAGATCAATCCTCCGCTTCTGCTGCACCGAAGAATTCGGACGGTTCGAGAAGAGCAAGTCATTCATCGGAAGCAGCAAAAGCCCGCATTAGGTACAGAGAAGAGAAAGAGCAAGGTGGAAGAAGGAGTGAGGGGCCCGGTAGTTTGAATGGAGGCACACCTCATGCCACATCGGACCTGGGCGAAGACGGATTGGACCCCGAGCTCTTGACCAGCATGCACGAGCCAGCAACAGAATTAGGGGCCGAAGTGCAGCTTTCAGACATACCCATGACACCCGATGATGATTTATCCAGCCTGCTACCTGACTTCGGCCATACAGACTTTGCCAGCAACGACGTCAACCAGGACTTGCTCTTCCTTTCACAGCTGGCTGCTTCCAGTACGCCGGAGCTCGTGAACCAGTCGTATCCTCCCAACCCTAGTCCCGCCATGCCACGTCTCTCTTCTTCAACATCCCGTCTAGGGATCCCGGGGATATCCCAATTAGCCAGTAGCCCGAGCATCGCAAATCTGCACATGCCCTCGTGCACATGTCTCCAGTCTACCCTGACCCTCTATGAAAGTATCCGCGCCGTGCAGTGGCGTGCCCAATGTGGTGCCAGCGCGGGTCTTTCGCGCGAAATGGCTCATCTGATCCTTAAAGCCTGCAAATTGGCCTTAAATCAGTGCCATCGGCTCATCGGCTGCTCCTCATGCAAGCGTGAGCCACTGTTCGTGATGTTGCTCTGTTCTGTCTGCGACCAGTGTCTGACCTGTTTTGAGACCTTTCACGACTCGCACCAAAGGCGATTGCGAAGTAGGAGTATGACCTCCTCGTCGACCGGAAGCAGTTTCGTCAATGCATCCGAGGCGCGCTCGGAAATGGATCAGCTTGGGGAGATTGTGCAACTGGCCAATTTGCCGTTTGGCGATGTGCCGGTATTGTTGGATGATGAGGATGATATCAACATGACTTGTAGCTTGTTGACCACGCGGGTGGCCTCGATGGTGAGCCTGCTGCGGTTATTGGGGCCGATAATTGATGGTTGTGGGTGGAGGACCCATCATGATACTTTCTCGGTGTTGCAGAAGCGGTGTCAGGGACTGGCGTATACATTGCAGACCAAATCTAAAGCCCGGTAGTGAGTGTAATGCTAATGTGTCATGATCGGTGGCTGTAGTATTAGATATATACTGTTTCTTTGCAAGATAGCATAAGAGCATTAGTCGAATACGTTACTAGATTGCAGTACTACAATACTACTACTTGTTTACATTCTCGGGAAGGCAAGAGCAACGATTGCAGGTCTAGGTAGTCTTTCCTATTTGTCTAGTCAAATCCTAATCTTCTATCACATCAAATGTATAGTATGGTCCAAGCCTATGCGTCAGCCTCTACATCCGCCAACACCATCTCGCTCAAACTGTCCAACGTCACCGTCTTACTCAACAGCTCCAGGAAGGGAATGTCCGTCTTGAACGCCTGGAAGAACCACGACCGGAACTCCGCAGCGATCATACTATCCATTCCATACGCCGCCAACGGCTTGCCCGCATCCAACTTCGCCAGCGGCATCAGGACAAGATTACTGAATCTGCGCGCGACATGGTCCCCTATGGCTGCACGCAGACTCGCCCCTTCCTCCACCGCGGCCGCGACCTCCATCGGCAACTTGCCCGCCTGATTCTTGAGCGCCATATCGCCCTCACCATCCAGCGCCCGACTGAGGAGAATTGCCCGGGGGTCATTCAACGTCGGATTCGTCCCTTCGAATCCCTTCTTGCGTAGCTCCTTCAACCCAAACGGCTCCAACCCGGTCAGGATATGAGCGTGCGCCCGCTCATCATAGGAATGGGGCACGGTCTGCGTCTCCGACAGGGCAATATCGATCACCTGGATCATCTCATCCTCATTGATCGCCTGGATTCCTTTCCGAAGCAACAGTGCCTCAATCTCTGGGTTTTCATGCAAGTAGCCCACCTCGGAGATCATACCTAGTCCCAGAGCTACCGCCGGTTTGCCCAGCGCGCGGCGATACCGGGCGAACATGTCCAGAAAGTGGTTGCCCGCGCAGTAGTTGGATTCCGTGGCCGTGCCAACGCTGCCGGAAATGGAGCTGGTCATGAGGAAGAACTCCAACGCCGCGTCGTGGCCCTCTAGCGCACGGTGAAGGTTGAGGGTGCCCTGCACCTTAGGGTCGATTCCCGTGTGCCACGCTGCGTTTGACATGGTCGTGAAGAGCGCTTCATGGAGGCCCATCGCGGCCTGGACAACACCGCCAATGGGGCCCGGTGCGGCCGCAACGACTTGGTCAACGTCCGCGCGGGAGCACACGTCCCCGCGCACCACGACGCATACCGCGCCCTGTGTCTCCAGGTCGTGGATGAGGGCCTGCGCACTGGGCTTGTCGGTGCCAGACCGCCCCAGGAAGACAAAGCGTCGCGCTCCGCGCGCCATCATCCATTTGGTCATTGCCCGGCCCAGACCTCCCAGGCAGCCGATCATCACGTAGCTCTTGTTGGCGCTGAAGGTAGTGCGGTGCTTCTGCGGGCGCAGCGCAACCTGTGCCTGGGGGTTCTCCAGCGTGATGACGACTTTGCCCATGCGATTGCGCGAGGAGAAGTAGCGGAAGGCCTTGGTGGCATCGGCGACGTCGAAGGTAGTGATCGGGTTGGCGCGCCCGATCGTGCCGGCGCGGTAGCGCGAGAGGACGTCTTCGAGAAGGGATGCCCAGCGCTTGTGGTAGGCGTCACTCGGATTATAGAACATGTTACTGAGATCGAAAGCCGTGTAGGTCGTGTTGCGCAGGAAGCCGTCCATCTCCAGCTTTCCGCAGTCAATCAGGTCGCGCTTCCCGATCTCGATGAACCGCCCGAACGAAGCGCAGCATTTCCAGCTCGCGTGCAGGAGATCGCCAACCAGGCTGTTCAGGACAACGTCAACGCCGCGGTTCTGGGTGGCCCGCATGATGCCCTCATAGAAGGAAGTGTCGCGCGAGCTGAAGATGTGGTCTTCGGATAGGCCGAGGGTTTCCACGAGGTAGTTCTTCTTGTCTTCACTGGAAACGGTAGCGAAGATCTGGACCAGGATTGATACTCAGCAGACTGTAATATGGAACCAAATTTAGGGGAATGGGGATCGGAGACTTACCTCAGCCTGAGCTTCCTGAGCGACTTGAATCGCCGCAATACCCACGCCTCCTGCGGCGGAGTGAATCAGGACGGTCTCGCCCGGTTGAATCCGAGCTCGGTCGTGCAAAGCGTATATGGCAGTCGCATATACTACTGGTAATGTGCACATGAACTCAAAAGACTCATTCTCCTCCAGTTTCTGACAACTCCACTCCGGCACGACCTCCGAGGTGCGGAAGTGATTAGGAGCCATCACGACGACACGATCGCCTACCGCTACGCGGGTCACCGCAGCCCCAACATTCTCAACAACACCGCAGAACTCCAAGGCGCAAGTGGCATCTTTGGTCTCTGTCTTGCCGCCAAGCACGTAGAAATCTTTAGCATTTACTCCCACGGTCCGTAGCCCGACCTGGACACTCAAGGGGTCTTCCAACGTAGCCGGCAAGGGGCGCATCTGATCGAAAAACAGGCTGTCAAAGTTGCCCGGTTCGAGTATCTGCAACTTCGCCGGCCGAGCCTGCTGCAGGGTGGTTTGCACCATCTCGTGGCCCTGGCGCTGCCGGAATGTGACGTTCAGATGGTCGTCGGGCACAAATCGGCTGACGTGCACCAGTCCGTCGTTCTGAATATATTCGTAGTCTCTGGGAAACTCACTAGAGTGGAGGACAGACAGGATGTTCTTGGCTGTGACGGGGGTCTTTGATGTTGTATTGTCGACATCAAATGTGTAGAATTTCAGCGAAGGATGTTCCATCATGACGGCCCGCGCCAGACCGGAGACCAGGGCAAACTCAGGCTGGGCCCCGTTCAGCGAGTCTCCTGCCGTCACCCACAGCAGCGTTTCCGCGTTGTCGGTCATTAGTTTGATCCCGCGCAGCTCGGATTCAGTGCTGGTCGAGAGGACCGGGTTTTCGGACTCAATAAGGCTGATGATTGTTGCTCCTGTGGGGATCATCCCGTCAACGAGATCATCGAGGTAGACATGCTTGCAACTCTCCGGGCCGTAGGTTTCGTGTAGCTCCGCGACGATGGACTCGCCTAATGCGGTGCTTATGCTGCGATCAACAACATACACTGGATATTGCTGAACAACTGATGTCGCCGGATCGGCGACTGGCTTAGCGAGGAACACACGACCTCCCCCGTATTCGAGAATGCATCCAATGGCCTGGAAGCCATTCTCCGCGGCATGCAGCCGTGCAGTAGAAGGTGACAAGCACAACAAGGATCCGTCGTCGGCCAGCAGGTCTTTGATGATGGAGAGCTTAGTAGCCAGATAGATATCCGTCTGTTCTCTAGCGGGCAAAATGATCAAGTCATATTTCGAACCATCTATGGCCGCGTGGTGTTCCAATGCGCCGTCTAGACGCTTTCCGAGATCCAGTTTTGTACCGTGAAGGACACCGTCATCCTTGATCAATCCCGATGTGAATTCCAGAACTCGTGGGAAAGAATCTCCTCCATGCAACAGATCGAGGGTGGCGTTAGTGATGAGGTGATTCTGATTGCCGAGTTCCAACACCCGCATGGACGGATTCTTGTGGGACAACAGGTCCAGCGTAGCTCCCATCTTGAGGAGGCCTTCGTCGCGAACCGGTGAAGTTGATTCATTGAAAAACTTGCTCAAATACTTCCGGAAATGATCTTCCGGCATCAACCCCAGCCCATACACATCCGGCTTCCACAACACGCGCAGCATCGGATGACGCTGTTCGCCCGCGTCGGCGCCCTGTCCTGTCTGATACGGCGAGAGCTTGACATTGGCGATTCTAGCTGCGACTTGCCCGTCACTGGTGCTCAGTTCGGCATCGATCTCAGAGGTGCCGAAGCCTACCACGCGCGCGACGGAATCGATCGCCCAGGATTTGGTAGCCGCGTCTGACGGCTCAGGGGCGTGAAGGTGGATGGAATCAAAGCTGACGGGCACCTTGGCCCGCAGTTCGCGGACGCGGCCTCCGGTCGTCGCCACGATGGCCGTCTGGAGCATGGCATCGATGGTGATTGGGTGGATGGGGTACTCAACGTCTAACCCTTCGGAGACGTAGTCTTGCAGGAGGGGGACTTGAGCCTTGCAGACAAGATCGGTCCGCATGCGCGAGACATCAAACCGCTGGATTGACTGAAATGCCGGTCCGAAGTTCAGCCCGACCTTGATGAGATTCTCGTACCACACCCGGGGCTGAGTGCTCTCCAACATAGCACGGTTGATCTGAACGTTCTGTACGAGGGACGGGGCCTCGGGGTTGATGCGGACTCGACCCGTGGCCCGAGTTGTGGAATCACCCTGGTCGTATGAGACAATGGAGAAGTCGTACCAGTATTTTGAGTTGCTGGCCGATGTGATCGGGGTTGGCCGGATGGTTGTAAACAGCTCGACTTCGGTCGTGGGTGAGTCCGTCAGGGCCAGGGCAGCCAGGATATTCACATTCTGTAGCTCGTAGTTGGCAGGGCCAGAGGTGGCAAACCCCGCAATCTGTCGCATTCCCTCCACTGCCATGGAGACATATCCGGCTCCAGGAAAGACAATTGTGTTCTGCAGCTTGTGGCTGTCTAGCCAGGGGATATCGGCGACGCGGATGACATTGCGCCATCGCGCTTCCAGACCATTTCCGCCGGGGATCTGTGAGCCCAGAAGCTCGTGTCTGGGATACTTGCGGGTGCGGAACTCGATGCTGCCGCGGCATTCGTGCCACAGCGCAGCGTCATAGGTCCACGGGTATGGAGGTAGATCAGGCAAGACCGAGCAGTCCGACTGGAGGCCGTTGACTTTGCTCCAGCAGATGGATTCTCCGCGGAGGTACAACTGGCCAACCATTCTGAGGATGGTGGTGACTTCATTCTTGCCTCGCGACAGAGCGGAGGCATACGGGAAGTGGTCATCGGACAAGGCAAGCGTCTTCTTGATCTGCTTGATGGGCATCTCCAGGGCCGAGTGAGGGCCTAGTTCAATGAAGTGGTACTTGTCAATCTCTGTCATCTTCTCTACACCATCGCTGAAGAGGACGGGGCTCTCCAAGTTGGATCTCCAGTATGCCGCGTCCGGGGTGCCCTCGCTCAACTGGCCTGTCACGGTTGAAACCCAGGTGACATTGCCTGCGTCAAGCTGTACTGACGGTTCCAACTTCTCCAATGCAGCTTGTAGAAGGTCCTCATAGTTCTGGCCAATCCGCGCCATGTGGTGGGAGTGATAAGCACGACCGCCTGTCTTCAGTGTCCGTGCAAATGTCCCTCGGGCAGCGAGGGTCTCCACCAGCTGTTGCACGGCGTCCCTGTCGCCAGAAACAGTCACGCTCTCCGGCGAGTTCACGCAGGCGACGTTGGCCTTGCCGCCCAACGACATCTCTTTGATGGCGGCATCGGCCTCAGATCTCGAAAGCCCGACAGCCGCCATGGCTCCATCTCCCATATCAAGTGCAACCGCGTAACCGCGATAGTAGGCTGCGGTGATGGCTTCTCCCAGAGACAGGCGACCGGCCGCGAAAGCCGCCGCAATTTCACCGGATGAATGGCCAACCACTGCCGCAGGCCGAATGCCCCAGGAGTCTAGGAGACACACCAAAGCAATTTGCACCGCGGTGCATGCCGGCTGCGACTGGCTCACGTGTTGGATATTGCTACTCTCCGCTGACGCTACTAGCGCGTCCTTCAGATGCCATTGGGGAGGATGGTCAAGGCTCTGAAGAATGCCGTCCATCTCGGAAATGGCGTTCGCAAACCCGGGATACTCTTCGATTAGGTGCTTCCCCATTTGCGGCCACTGTGCCCCTTGGCCGGTGAACACAAATGCGTACTGACCGTTGGCTGAAGAGCTGGGACGGCCGGTGACGAGGTCCTCGCTGACAAGTCCATTTGTGAGACTGGTATCGGAGACAAGGAATGCCCGATGGGGCAAATGCGACCGGCGCGAACCCAGGGTGTAGAGAAAATTGGTCAAGTCCGGATGCTGGGACAGCACATACTGGTGCAGCTGATCAACCCGGGTGGTCAAAGACGCCTCGGAACCTGCCGAGATGGGAATTAGAACCTTGGAACGTGCAATATCATTGAGGCGGTGCTGTTGCTGCATTGGGATAGCATAGGGCCCGGCAGATTCAATGATGGCATGGGCGTTGGCGCCCCCGTAGCCGAAGGAGTTCACGCCGGCTCGGCGCGTTGAAGAGGTCCCAGTCGAAGGCCAGGGAGTCATCTTCTTCACGATGTCGATGTTCCACTCCTCACATTTAATCTTGGGGTTGATCTGGTTGACTCCGATGGACGCCGGGATGCTTTCATGTTCCAGGGCGAGCACCGTTTTGATGATGCCAGAGATACCACTTGCTGCTTCGCTGTGGCCAAGATTGGATTTAACAGACCCGATGAGCAAGGGCTGACCAGCCCGGCTGTGGAAGATTTTCGATAATCCTTCGGCCTCGATGGGATCGCCTACGGGCGTTCCTGTACCGTGGCATTCGACGTACATTGTCTGGGAGAAATCGAGGGCTGCCTTTTCGTACGCTTTGCGGATCACGGCTTCCTGACCTTCTGCGGAGGGGAGGGTGATTCCTGATGTCCGACCATTTCTATTCTCATGTTAGCTGGGTTCCTTTTATTGATCGATGGAAACAGAGAACGTACGAATTTACTGCAGTTCCCCTGATAATAGCTCGAATTGGGTCGTTATCCTTGATGGCATCGGAAAGACGCTTCAAGTAGATACACCCAATGCCCTCTGCTCTCCCATATCCGTCTGCCTCGTCGGAGAAGGTATGACACGTCGAGGTGCCTGACAGCACACCGGCCTTCATTGTCCCGAGGTGTTGTTCAGGCGACTGAATCAGGTTCGCACCCGCGACAACGGCACTGTCGCACTCGCCATTCTCAAGGGCGGCGCAGGCTACATGAAGACAGTACAGAGACGATGAGCAGGCGGTATCGAGAACGAAACTACAATCCATATGAATTAGTGCACGGGCTCAATCCCCCTTTAGTAGACTTCATGGGAATGTATATACCTTGGCCCCTTCAAGTTAAAGGTATGACTGATGCGATTCGCAAGAATCGTCGTCCCCATACCCGTCGCACTATACCGATGCAAATACTCGGGGTCCCTCGTCTGCATCACCTGAAAGTCAACGGTGAAATTGCCGACGTAACATCCCACGTTAGAGCCCGACACCTCATCGAGACTGGCCCCCGCGCTCTCAAACGCCTCGAACACCAATTCCAGCAGTTTTCGTTGCTGCGGGTCCATGTAGGTCGCCTCGATAGGGCTGATGCCAAAGAAGTCCGGGTCGAAGGCGCGAGGATCCTCCTGGAGAAAATAACCACCCGTGGTGTGCATGGATCCAGGTCGATCCACACCTTTGGGGTGGTAGAAAGCATCAACGTTGAATCGACTTGAAGGGATCTTGCATTGTCCTGATTTTCCCTCCTTGAGGAAGTCCCAAAGACGGGAAGGCGAATTCACGTCGCCGGGCAAGCGACAGCCTGGCAAACTTTAGCATTAGCTCTGAAATATTATGTACGCCGAGGTAAGGGGGAGTTCGAACCCATTCCAACGATGGCAATTGGTTCATGCTGGCCACGAGCGGTATCTCTATGTGGGCCTGTGCCATTTGCAGTGAAGACGGAAGGCGACGAAGGAACGGAAGAGGGAATCGATGAGCTAGATGGAGCCATTGTAGAAAGCCTTGGACAATGAAAAGTCTGCTAAATGCAGGAATCATACAAAATTCTGAAATGCAATTGTCGATTAGATCTCCTTCATCATGGCCATATATGATGGTGCCCCGTAACGACAGAGGATAGACCGGGAGGGCTGACGGAGGAGCTCCTTTGGGAAAGCCCCGAAATACTACAGGGCTATGAGTGCCGGTCTCTCATGCTCCGGAGGTAGATGGCCTCTTCTCTCTTTACCTACCTCGATCAATGGTTGCACCTGTCTGAGTGACTCTTCTGTGGACGTTCCTCACTCGACACGCGCCCTATTGCTTTGATACCAGTTCTCTAAGAAAGGATGAGCCACATTAAAGGTGCAGTGATCACAGGATGTGGAAGTGGAGGCATCGGCCATGCGTTGTCTGCGGAATTGAAACGTCGAGGTTAGACTCACGCATGATTCTTGCTTGAGTATAGATAGCATCCTTACGATCGCCAGGGTTTCACGTCATCTCGACGCTCCTGTCCTTTGAAGACCCAAGCCATCTCGAAGCCCTCGACATTGAGGTGGTGCGGTGCGATGTTACCAGTGAAGAAGACGTGACTGCCTTGAAGAGACTAGTGGAGAAACGACTTGACGGGCGCCTTTCCATCCTCATTAACAACGCAGGAATATGTAAGTCATTACCTGGTTAGAAGCCCGATAGAGTGGCTCCAACTGACCGAAGCGCCGAGCAGGTTATACGATGACAGCAACTGATACCGAGGTTGACGAAGTTGAAAAGATGTTCCGGGTGAACGTCTTCGGGCCAATGCGCATGGTCCATCATCTCCATCCTCTTCTTGTGCAAGCCAAAGGCCTCGTTGTCAACATCGGTTCGGTCGGGGGAATTGTGCCCTACGTCTATGGAGGTGCGCTCCATCCCTTCAGCTAATCCTGTAGCTTACTGAGATGTAACTCCAACCCAGCCAGCTATAACGCCAGCAAAGCAGCGCTTCATCATTACGGCAATACGCTGCGCGCGGAACTCAAGCCTTTCGGTGTCCGAGTTGTAAATATTATCTCGGGAGAAGTCTCGACCAATGTCTTGCGCACTGATCGTTCCAACCAGCGAAAGCTCCCAGAAGGTAGGTTTGGAAGGTCTGCATCGCGCTTAAATTTGCCGCTGACCTGGACATTGCAGAGTCGATCTACAGTGTTCTAGCGGAAGACTTTCAGAAGCACATTTATCGTACACCCAGTAGGTTTCACAAGACCCCGATTTTCTCTCCATCACTTGCTCATATACTTTATCTGCAGAAACCATTACCCCGGAACAGTATGCCCGGGGTGTGGTCGACCAACTGCTCAAGCCTTCTCCAGCAGCTTGGGTGTGGTACGGTGCACAGACGGGAATTGTGCGGTGGTGTGACATGTTGCTGCCGCGCACATTCTGGGTAAGATACCCTGCAATCGGTCAATCTCATAGCTAACGCTGATTCAACAGGACTGGCTGTTCTATCATATGTTCAATTTCGAAAAATTGGCGAATGCTGTCCGAGGTGTGAAGGGAGATGTCTGATCCTGGAATTCTTTGTGTATATTGGTAGTAACTTTACCCTCGAATCCCAAACATTGTTGCAGGGGCCAATACTGGCTGTGCTTAAAGCCAGGAATAGTATGGATGTAGTGGAACTCTGAGCACTCAATTGTAACATTGTGGTTGGACCTTAGCTCGGGCCGGTTCTCAAAGGAGCGAACCCCGATATTGAATTTCATCGGAGATAACTAGGTCTGATTTGTGGCTTCAATGAACAGGTTCATACATTGCGATAATCATATTTAGCATTGAATCTGCTCATCGTATAAATGCAAACATACATACACCTTCCTCTCAAGAACAAAAACAAGAATCATTTAGCAAAGATGAACATTGACGGATTCGCACTCGTGACGGGAGCAGGTAGGCGCTGACTGGCAAAGACACCGACCCATAGTGTTCAACAACTGATGTGTATATCGGGATCACTAATAGGTAGTGGCATTGGCCGCGACTGTGCAATTGCCTATGCCATTGAAGGCGCAGCCGGTGTGGCATTCGCCGATCTTGATCCCATCGCAGCGACAGCCGCCGCCGAAGAAAGCAAATTGCTCGCTACGAACCCCAACTACCGAGCATTGACCATTGAGGTTAATGTCCGTGATCCAGACAGTGTCCAGGAGATGGTTGACACAGTCGTCATGGCCTTTGGCCGCATTGACTACTCCGTCAACAGCGCAGGGGTGAGTGACAAGTGACGCCCGTGATCCCAAAAATATATACAGCATAATCTTTGCTATCTTCAGCTGACTATTTGTTCAACCCTTCTAGGTTGGTGTCGAGCAGCCAGCAGAGATTTCCAAGGCGTCAGTGCGAGAGTTCGAGCGCTTCATGGACGTCAACGTCAAAGGCACGTTACTCTGCGTCCGCGCCGTGAGCGCCCAGATGAAGCAGCAAGAAGCTCGGCACTTCTCGTTGCGTAAGTCCACTCCCGCCCGGAGCTGTGGTCGGGGCGTGATCATCAATCTGGGATCGAGTAATTCGTATGTGGCGACGCCCAATATCGTTCAGTATACGGCCTCTAAACATGCGGTGATGGGAATTACCCGCAATGCTGGTGCGTTCCACACGCAGTTCTTCCTCTCTTCCTCCACATTTCAGAAGACTGACAATGAGAAAAATAAATCAGCCCTGGATTTGGCCCCATACGGGATCCGAGTCAATTCGATCTGCCCCTCGTGGGTGGAAACTCCGATGATCGAGCGAGCGGTGGCGGGCGATCCGAATTTGGCATTTGTGATGAGTCGAGTGGTGCCGATGGGTCGGATTGCGACGAAGGAGGAAGTCTCCGATGTGCTGATGTTCATGAGTAGTCCGCGGGCGAGTTTCGTCACCGGGGCAGGCTGGATGGTCGATGGAGGGGCTACTCTGCAGCTGCAGACTTGAGATCAGTATCCATAAACATATATAGTACCTCGATAGTATCAGTATCGTGTTCCTCCACTAGTCCCATCCACGCTTCATTGCTACTTGCTCTCTCTGCGTTCGTATTCCCATTAACAACAACCACTACTACTTCTACTACTACTGCCAACCACCATGGAAGACACCGGCCCTATCACCCAATTCCCAGCTGACGGCCTCCGCGCCTCGAAGCGGCTCATCACGTCCCACAATTCCGAGGGCAAAGGCGTCTTCATCACCGAGGACCACGGTGATCACCACAAGATCATGGTCCGCGGCAAGGGCGTGGCCAACATCATCTACAGCACCAAGGGCAACCCCGTAGACATGACCGATGACGCGGACGTCAAGTTTGCCAAAGAAAATGAGGTATCCCCTTCTTCCCTATCTCACAGCCTCGTCAATCACTTCCTTCTCTAATATTTCAAAACAGCCTCCCCTGCACATCCCCAACGGCTCAGTTGTCCGTCTCATTGACTTTGCCCCTGGCGTCGAATCACCCATGCACCGCGCCGTCTCCCTGGACTATGGCATTGTTATTGAGGGCGAAGTGGAGATTACCCTGGACAGTGGCGAGTCCAAGATCATGAAACCGGGTGATATCTCAGTGCAGCGCGCTACCATGCACAAGTGGCGGAACGTGTCCGATACGAAGCCCGCTCGCGTGGTGTTTATTTTGTTGGATTGCTTGCCATATTCGGTTAATGGGGTGCAGATGACGGAGGATTTGGGCGATTTGGCTGGTGAATATGCTGAGAGGAAGGAATAAGTGCTTTCCCGTGGGACGTGTGATGCGTTTAGATAGGTGATCTTCGAAGACGCCACACAGTTAGAGAAATCGTGGAGACAAATGTCTTAGAATACTACCAGATCTCGCGGAAAGTCAAGGTCATAGAGGAAATAGCAATTATATACAAAAAAGGCAATCAAACTCATAGACAGATGATGGGGCTTATGCAGACTCTGTGGTCAATCTCTTCAGCGCCCGACTCCGGACCCGCGCCTTGTGCCCCCAGACATAGAACAACACCGGGATTGGGATCAGCCCAAATTCCAAGGCAGCCAGCACAATCCCAGCCAAGCGTGGACTCAACGCGTGGTAGAACCGCTCGCCGGCTTCGACCAAGCCTGCCGCGAGCAGCGACCGACAAACGACATTGGACACCAGAGCCGACGAGGCAAACATCCCATACGAGGCCGCTACATAGTTCGTACCGTAGGTGAAGATGACCGTGTTGCCAAACCCGAAGAGGACACCGCCGATGATGGACGCTATCCAGGGAATTGAGGTCGGAAGTGAGGTCAGCGCGAAGATCAATTGCCCGACTGGAGCTAGCACGGCAGCGATGATGATGACGGAGACTGCTGACTCCGGAGCGCGTTTGCCTGTTCGCGCATCGACTGGATGTCGATTGATTAGTCGTCGCAGTATGGGCTCACACAAGACTGTCAGCGTATTACCGATCAGCACTCCCACGAAGGCAAGGCCGGAGATCTCGGGGGACCAGTGCCGGAGGTCGGAGAAGACTATGGGGTAGGCGATGAAACAGAGGTAGAGAACGGCGTAGATGACGGCGATGTACAGATTCCAGAACCACAAAACGGGCTCGGTGATGCACAGTTGGATGGGCCGCCAAATGGCCGTGGGAAGGCGTTGCTGGAGGGGGATTGTCTCATCGTGCTTCGACCACCAGCGTAGATCACCGGTGGACTGACGCTTAGCGGCTGCGCGTCGACGCAGGATGATGGGCTGGTACGTCTCTTTCATGCAGCTCATCAGCAGCCATCCCACCCCGGAAATGATCATAATAAACCAGTTGATGCCTCGCCAGCCCCAGCGCTCGTAGACAAATCCACCCTAGACGAACAAACCTGCCTGTTAGCGCTTTGTTCACTGTGCTTACGTTGTCCCCTCGGAAGATCCTACTATAATCGGTCCAGTTACTGGTCCATTCAATGGACCAATGGAATATACTGACATTGCCAGCGCCAGTCGCGAACTTGGCACAATATCGACCAGGCTCCCCGGCGCAAGGGTGATCATCACTCCACCGAAAATAGACCTAATCGATCGACATAAGCTTTACCAGTCCTGCAAACTGGAAACACAAGACTCACCCCAAGACGCGCGCCACCAGGACGACAGCAAACGAGTTGGCCATAGCAGCGGCTGGAATTAGCCCTACATAGACCAGTAAGGAAACAAAGTACACCGGTCGCCGTCCAAATGTCTCACTCAATGGAGCGAGAACAAGCGCCCCGACCGACCACCCAATCAGATAGAGCGAAATACCCAGGTTGGCGACCGTTTCGCTGGCAATACCCAGCTCGACCATCATCCCCGTGATGCCGCTGGAGTAGCACGTCGAATAGAGGACCGTGGCCCATGCAGTGTATGTGATGGCCATGATCGCGCAGACCTGGTACCAAGTTTTCCAGTTTTTGGGGTTCTCGGGGTCGTCATCGCGGAAGTCAACGCAGAACTCGGGAATGTGCCTGCTAGACTCATTGTTGGGTACAAGATATGCACTCGACGCTGCTTGCGAGGGCGGTGTCGCTTCGCCTGTTGGAGTGGATATACCCCTTTTTGCTTCTAGAGCGATGCTATTTTCGTCTGACTGAGGATCAATATTGGGACTCTCTCGGGTCGGATTCAAGGCCATGGTTGGAAAATGCTAGGCTTTGACACACTGGGACCGGAACCTTTTCGAGAAGATGGGACAACATAGTTCAATGTACAAGTACCCCCGATCGCATTCTTTTATCTTATACTACGTCTACCACCGCTTACGGGTTCTAGTTTCAGTCCGCAGTATTAATTTAGTCGATGTTATCTACCAGCTTATCTGACATGTTCTTCCAGTCACGAACAGGAGTTAGGGAGCGGCAGTGCATAAGGTCAATCACCAACACTAGGCTTCCACCATCAGCTCCCTCCTCTGAAACACGCTAGAAGCTCGAAGCCTGTAGTTCGCCACTGGGAAGTGACAGCTGAAACAAGGCACAATAGCGGGGGCGAAGCGTCGGAGTTCAAGATTTGGGGTTTAGTTGCATCCTGGGGATTTCGGGCTGGCCGAAATAGGAAATGACCATTAGGGCCGGCATTGATTGTGGTGGTCACTCAGTTGGTGCATCGGCCAGGGGCTGAGACACCAGCTGCATGTAAGTCTACTCATTCATAATCATGGGGGCTATATGATCATTTGTCCCTGCGAATGCGTCTACACACTTGTACCTTGACTATACAACAACGAGAGGCAATCTAGACGCCTATCATGGCCGTGTACTTGCCCCGTAAGGATTACAACCTCCCGCAACTCGATTTGTTGTCGGTGATATTTGGTAAGGACACAACAATGATAATCATCGGAGAAGTGAGATTTCTTTTTTGCTAAGATACGCAGACTCTCCCATTTCCTGGACCGAGGAAGACACCGTCCTCCATGCCGAGGCAGACGATCCAAGCAACCAGATCACAAAGGGCCAGGCACGAATTCTGACCAAGCGCGTCGCATACCATCTCCGACATGACTTTGGCGTCGGCTGCTCACCATCTACGGATGTAGTAACTGTCATTTCCTCCGGACAGGTCATGCTGCCAGTGCTGTTCTATGGAGTCATCGCTGCCGGGGGCGTTTATTCGTCCGCATCGTTTACCTGTACTGCATCGGAGTTGGCTGCTCAGATCAAGCGAGCAAGGAGCAATATTGTGCTAGCCAGCGAAGACTGTTCTGAGGTTGCCATTTCTGCCGCAAATAATTGTGGTATCTCCTTGAATCGCGTGCTCATCTTGCAGAGCATGGGACATCGGAGAGAACTCAGATGTGCAGCCACCGATCGCAACTACCTCCAAGAACCTTGGTTTTCAAACCAAAGGCTAGATTGGGAACGAATACAAGATCCTGAAACCCTTAAGAATCGGACGATATGTCTTCTGTACAGCAGCGGAACGACCGGGCTTCCGAAGGGTACGTCCACGAGTGTTGATCTACCTTATACCATTAATTTGGAATACACATTCAAGGACTGACTTATTCTTCTGGTAAATAGGGGTGCGATTGTCTCACCAGAATCTGGTCTCTTCCTCACTTCTTCCGTCCCTACTAGATCGAGAATACATCCTGCAAAGACGGCACAGCGATCCTAGCTACGTCTATCGCGGTACGACACTGGCACATTTACCCACAGCCCATATTGGTGGCTGTCAGGGATACTTCACCATCGCCGCCATCTCCGGTGTCAAGGTGTACTGGATGCGCCGGTTTGACTTTGCGAAATTCCTCGAATACAACAAAAGATACCAGATCACTGAGTTCTTCACGGTCCCGCCGATCTATCTTATGATCGCGAAGTCGCCACACGTCACGGACCAGTTTCAAAGTCTACAACGTGCCTTGTCAGGGGCCGCACCTCTGGGGCCACAGTTGCAAGCAGCAGCTGAGAAACGTCTCGGCTGCCTCATCACACAAACTTGGGGGCTAACGGAAACGTCCGGGGGGGTGACAATGCTCCCCTGGGACGGCAGCTTGAACGACAACTCTGGCAGTGTGGGAGCCCTAATGCCCAATTGCCGTCTCCGTATCGTGGACGACGACGAGAGGGACGTGGGCGATGGCGAAGAGGGAGAGCTATTAATCTCCGGACCAAATGTAATGCAAGGCTACCACGAGAATCCCGAAGCCACTCAAAACTGTTTTACCCGGGACGGTGCTTGGTACAAGACTGGCGATATCGGCCAGCAACGAGGACAACTGTTGTATATCGTTGATCGGAAGAAGGTAGGTTGAGCGTTACAACGAGCGAAATATTATCTCTACTAACTCACGTGCTCGGTATAGGAGCTCATCAAGTACAAGGGTCTTCAAGTTGCACCCGCTGAGATTGAGGGTCTGCTATTGTCCCACCCTTTGATCCAGGATGCGGCGGTGGTTGGTGTGACCGATTCGGAGTCTGGAAACGAGTTGCCGCGGGCATACGTGGTTGCGGATCGCGCCCAAATTCCTGGATCAGAGATCCTGAGCTTTGTGAGCTCTCGATTAGCTGCTCATAAGCAACTTAGGGGCGGTGTGGTATATGTGTCCGCTATTCCGAAAAGTGGCAGTGGAAAGATACTCCGAAGGGAGCTCAGAAAGATGGCAGCAGATGTTGGGAGATCCTCGAAGCTCTAAGCCGGGACATATTTGTCAGGGCCCATATTTTCTCATGGAAGTTGTGTTAGGTTTCCCGCGAGAGATGAGTAAGGTTAGATCATAGCGAGGGTATATACTATTCGTATCTAAATATTTGTCAAATCTTTGCCCGTCCGCCGTTTCTCTCCTTGGGTACAACCAGCACTGATAACTGGCCTATCGCCACCAAATCACCCTCAACATCGCTAATCCGAAGCTCAACATCCATTTTCTTCGACGTAAGCTGCTGAGTACGGGCCTCTTGAAATAACCATCTAACGCCTTCGGCTGGCAATGGCTTGTGCGGCTGTAGCTCTAGTGTCATTGTGGGATACCAAGCAGTCACCCACGTCTCTGCGTCCTCTTTAGTCAACCTCATGCCGACCTTCTTGTCCTCCACCTCCACCATCCGGTTCACCATCCCGACCGCGCTATAAGGCGACGGCTCCACTCGTTCCGCTTTGAAGTTATCTGGAATCTGTGGCCAAAGGTCACTAATCATCGGAATACATTCATTTGTCAAACGGTCGTGAGCAAACCGAGGACCTATCCATTCCACAACCTTGGTCGAGCCAAGTCGAGAATCTCGCGGAAGAATGTAATCGAAATGAGTTCTGACGCGTGAGTAGGGGTCGTGGCTGATTCTACACCGTATCCACGACTCATCTTGAACACTCTCTTCGTCGTCGATGACCATTCGAGGAACTGGCTCGGCTCGCCTTCGCTCAATTTCGGGGTCCAGAGCAATCGCCGGAGTTTTAATCCAAGGACCATATCTGGTTTTGTCTAACATCAGCATCTTCTCATCTATACATTTGTATTGTCCTACCGTATGTAGCACAATGCTCGTACTTGGCCATCCTGTACTAGTCGTATATGAAGCAGGCTGGTAAGGGTCCCCTTCTGTATTTCTTCTACTTCAAAGACTCCAGTTCTATGGATCGCAACGCGCCGCACATACTCCACATGCAGATTTTGTAGGGTCAAAGGGTTAAAAACATCCCACTCGCTTAAATGCACTCGCGCTGCCTCTGCAAAGAGTGCCGCGATGAAGCCGCCATGGGCAGCTTTAGAGCTGGTCAGCCTGTGTTGTTGCCCTTCGAAGATTGGAAAATTATTACCTTGTCCATTTGCATACGCCGACTCGAAATATTTTTCGTATGTATGAGGAGTCAAGCGCTTAACTGACAGTGCGTCACGGAGTTTGTTGGTCTCCATTCTAGTTTTGTATGATTGGGATCAGAGCTGAACAGCGTAGAAGTTTGCTCGCAGCCAACCGCAGGATGATGCCTAGTATAGTCCTGCAGATCGGCATGCACTAATCCGTCGTCGGGGCTTTCCGTAATGGGACGATGGCCGGCACAAATCAAAGTGTACTATATCAAGCAGACATCTCGATGTTAGTACCTGAGAGGAATAGACTACACGTTTCGCTCGCAGACACTACCATGGTAGCGCTCAGGATGCAGGACTATTTTTCTCTGGGCCAGATTGGCCAGATTGGCCTATGCGACGCCGCAAGGATCCTTTTCACCCTATTCGGCTCCTACGTTGTTCTTCGCTTGATGTACAATCGCTACTTCCACCCTCTTCGTAACTTTCCTGGACCGATCTGGGGGAGTCTCACGGATTTCTATAAGCTGTACATTGTGGCGCAAAAGGATGCCCACACTCGTGGTATTAAAATGCACAAAAAATATGGTCTGAAACTACAACTACCATAATGTAGTACAGTGCTCAGTGTCACTAATACACATCAACAATCAGGCCCTATCGTCCGAGTAGCGCCCAATCTCCTGGCCTTCAGCGACCCTCTCCTCCTCCCCGTGGTCTACCATCGTCGCGCCGATAAGACCGAGTTCTACAGCACCGGCATCCTCGGAGACATCCCGCCACCATTCCAGACCCTCAAACACGAGGACCATGCGGCCAAGCGCAAACGCATCGCTCCGTCATTTTCTATGTCTAACCTGCGCCGCCTGGAGTCCGACATGGATGTTCGCATTCTTGAGTTCTGTTCCACCCTACGCAACAAGCATGCCAAAACCGGCAACCCGCTGGATTTCGCTGAGTATGCGCAGTGGTTCGTCTATGACCTAGTGACGCAGCTGGCATTCGGCTCTCCGGTCGGCTTTGTGCGGGAGACGCGCGACATTGGAGGGCTAATCCATCATTTTCACGATATGGCGCCGTTGGCGGGCTTCATCGCGGCGTTGCCGTGGCTAGCTAATCCGATTTTTCAGAACCCCTTGTTCAAGAGGTATCTAATGCCGAAGCCGGGAGATAGTACTGGGACGGGGCAGATTATGAAGGTGAGAGGGGCACGAAGAATTTGGGCGCATGCAAAGAATTCACTTTCACCTTGCTAATGCGGTGCAATCAGTTTCGCGATGACATGCTTGAGCATCGACTTAAAGACCGCTTCGCCGAAGGATACGATGATTTCCTGTCCAAGTAGGTGCCCTTCATCTCCCAGCCTTCTCGGCCCATGAAGGCGCTAATCATCTGTTACCCTGTTTCGAATGAACACAGTCTGCTTAAAGCCCGCAACGAGGATGGCAGCCTGATGACCATCGAAGAGATCAAGACCGAATGCTTTGTGCTGATGGTCGCCGCCTCAGACACTACCTCGGCCTTCATCTGCCCCTTCGTGAACTATGTAGTGCAAAACCCACAGATCTACCAATCACTCATGGAAGAGATTACCACGTACGAGGGGAAAGGCCTGCTCTCGAACCCAGTGGTCACATATGACGAGACAAATGCGATGCCCTACTTCATGGCCTGTGTCAAGGAAACGCTGCGCTACTCGCCTTCCACCCCTATGATAATGCCCCGCTACATAGCCAAGGATGGGATCAAGGTGCTGAATGATACGTATATCCCCGGCGGAACGGAAATGGGCGCCAACCCATACGTGGTTCATCGTGACACGAAGATCTATGGCCACGATGCGCACTTGTTCCGGCCTGAGCGATGGTTGGAGGATGAGGCGCGATCAAAAGAGATGGACAGGTATCTTATGAGTTTTGGGTATGGTTCGCGCGTATGTTTGGGGAAGAACATCGCTCAGCTGGAGACTCAAAAACTGTGCTGCCAGGTACGTCTCATACTTTTTACTTCTGCATGCCCTTCAGCCTGGAATCTCAGTTGGTCTGACTTGAAGCGCAGCTCTTCCGTGACTTTACGATTGACATCGTAGATCGCAATAATCCTTGGGAGGCGAATAACTTGGCCATTATGGTCTTTGCCAAACAGTTTCTTCGAATCAGTGAGCGCACAGCTACCTCGGGAGCCGTTTGAGGCTTTCCCATGGGATGCGGTTTCTCCATTTGTGCTCACTAGTACTAGCTCTCAAATGTGACAAAGAAACCAGATGATTAATTACGTTACCAGGCCTCTCTTTTTAGCTCACTTGCTGTTCATACACGCTTGATGCAGAGAGAAGACATGACAAAATCTTTCCATAATCTTAGACTCTCAGGCACTCTTGTCTACCCTTCCAGTCGACATGTGCCGATAATGATAAATGATTTGGATTTGGATTATGACCATACTGTAACTCATCATAACGCAGTGTTGCTACCCGACCATAATTATTTCGAGGGACTTGGGGCTAACACGCGTTGAACGGCAAAGTGTACGGATCAGGGCATAAACTAGCATAACATTGAATGACATAATAGTGCAGAGGATAATTGAACAAATTAGAATCGGACTTTCCCTTTCTGCTCGGCCCGAGCCGTATCAGGCTTGGCCGATAAACGACCCGTACTGGAGTGCCAGAAAGAAAATGGCCAACTGAATGCATTAACAAATAATTATTTATTGCTGTTAATGTTGGCTATGAGACTATTCGAACTAAGTAGTCGTAGTGAGCACCGTAAGATACTATATTCAAGTAAATATATATGCATTGATCTTCAACGATTACCAACTAGCTTGATGTTCTAGACAGACCTGAAAGCCACCAAATATATTATACTATCACTCTTCCATCCGATACTTAAGTCACCTCAAGGACCAGGTGAGGTGGCTCAAGCACAATAATGGCCCTCACGAACGAAGTTATCATATTCAGGGCTTTAACATTTGGTCCCGTGACGTAATGCGAGCCCGACGAGTTGGAGATCACCTGGACGTTAGAAGCGTACATATAAACAGTTTTGCAAGGCCTTCGTTTGAAGGTGTCTTTGGCGGGCACAAGTAGAGTGGCCTTGGTGTTGAGTTCGGTGAACAAGGGCCGCTGTGGTGCTGAAACCCGAAGTCGACATATCTGCATTTTGATCTACCTTGAAAATAGAGTTAATACTACCTACCATATGTCGCGGGACGATGGTTGAAGCTTGATAAAATCATTTGATGAATTAGAGAATTGTATACCAACTTGCCACTTGGTCTTCACTAAATGAGAAGCAATATGTAACAACTATGAACAGCTCTGGTGGCCGCAAATGTTTTCTATGATCTCTCTCTGAAGTAAAACGCACTCAATAACAGCATCATTGCTTTTTCAAAGAGTTTTACTCATTTAATCTCCCACTTGAGCCCTCCGTCTCGATAGCAGTTGCTGCAGCCTTCAGTACAACCTTTTGGTGGCTTGTATTGGAAGACACCCATGTCTTGGTTTAATCAAAATATGTAGGGTTATACGGAGTGCTTGAAATTTATTCTCCACCTATACTACGTTCACAAAGCCATCTTGTTGGCTTTCGATATCAATACATACCTGGAGAGGGTACATGGTACCGTGATGCACTATCTAAACATAAGGGAAATCTGTTTCGTTTTCTCCATTATAAAAAAGGTATGGGGATGTTGATCTATTTCAATTCCCTCAATGGCCGTACGACGGAATGCAACAATTGTCTTCGATTTCACCAGCCCTCGGTCCTTCCTACTCTGGATGTGACCGGACAAAGCCCTATACGGCAAACCCCTAAACCTGCGGATGTGCATAGCGAATCAAGTCATGTCAGACAATCTGTCTCACTTTTAAGAAGCGTTTAGTCCAAGCGAAACAATAAGAAACTGTTATCGCATGCCCTTATTGTACTGTGGACTTCTTATCTCTGAAACCATATTAGAAATTGTCACATAATATGGACAAACAAGCCTTCCAAGAAGAACCCCCGTTTCCCGAGGGCCTCAACCTAGCGCAACTTGAAGTCATCGACTATGACAAACTCGTCAATGACCCTGATTCTGACGAAGCCAGGCGTTTATTTGAGGCCTGCAAGCATTATGGGTTCTTTTACCTGAAGCTGGACCACAGTGAGAAGGGCCAGCAGCTACTCGACCTCGTCAAAGAGACCTTCACTCTGCAGAAGAAGGTCTTTGACCTGCCTTCCGAGGAGAAACGTCCTTACGATACGGGCCAGTTTCTAGGGTACGTGTACCTGTAGCCCTATGTGACCTTCTCAGACCTCTCACCGGATACACAGATACACTGCCCCTGGCGGAACAGTCATTGACCGTAATGGCACTCGAGACCGCATGGAAGTATGGAATGTAAGTCGACAGGTAATTTCAAGAACATTAGCAAATGTCTCACATGGCATCTCTACTCTCAGATCGGGAAAGACGATATAATGCAGCCCGGCTACAGTATCCCAAAGCCGCCTCTCTTGCTTGATAGTCAGAAAATCCTCCAGACCTTTACGCAGAGCTGTCATGAAGTTGCTTTGACCATCCTGGCCGCCCTAGAATCGCTTCTCGACCTCCCAAAGGGCACATTCGCCGACTTGCACCGACTTTCCGCCGAGTCCGGAGACCACGTCCGGTTCCTGAAGGTTCCTCCTCAGCCAGACACGGACCGTCGCACCGCGCTGGGTGAGCACACTGACTTCGGCAGCATCACGGTTCTCTTCAACCGTCTGTCGGGATTGCGCGTGGTCGAGCCTGGCCGTCAGTACGGCGAGAACGACTGGGACGAATGGCCGTGGGTACAGCCACGGCCCGGTCATGCGATCATCAATCTGGGCGATGCGTTGGTGAAGTTCACAAACGGCCTCTTTCGCTCGAATGTGCACCGCGTGGACCCTCCCTTGGGCACTCAGAAGCTCGTGGATCGGTACTCCCTCATCTACTTCTCGAGACCGCGCGACGATGTAGTGCTGAAGCGCCTGCCTGGCAGTGGGGTTATTCCACCGTTAGCAGATGGAGTTGTGGAGGAAGAGCTCACGAGCAAAGAGTGGATCGAGCGACGTGCAGCTGGG